CTCTGCCTCCCGAGTGCTGGGATTAAAGGCGTGCGCCACCAACGCCCGGCGAGTTATTTCTTAAGTAAGTGTAGAATGGAAGCTGGGTTTGATGGTGTACTTGTAATCCCAGCTACTCAGGTGGCTGAGACAGGAGGATTTCACGTTCAAGAGCTACCTGGCTAACTCCGTGAAACATCTCAAAAAGTTAAAAAAATAATTTAGAATAAACTGTTGGGTATTTTTTTTATAGTCTACTATGGTACTATCTTAAGAATTAATGTAATCATGTACTTCTTATTGGATGAAAGAGTTTTATTTAGTTTTGTTTTAAGACTAGCTGCCACTTACATATAAGATAGGAGATTTAAAGTTGATGATTTGGAGGGAAAACATTTATTTTCTTAATGTTGATGTGTTGCCTGAAGTTAAAATTATTAGTATATATACTTAAAACTTTATCATTTACCAACTTATTCTTAAAATTCCTAAAATTTTTATTATTTGTTCACTTTATTCCTAAAAATTGATTTAAAAAACATCTCTTATTATTTTATGTTCTTCAGTATCTAATACTCAGTTCGAAATGAGCATCGGACATTGAGCAAGTGTAGTAAATTGACTAGGTAATTCAGTCATAGGTCATTTTGCTATTTTCCCTTGTAGTAAATGGAGAATCATCTTCATCTGTCCTAGCTGATAATACTTCCACCATGGGTACCCCACTACCATCTGAAGAAGCCACCTCGACTTCCAATTGCACTAGCACCACCATCCAGGAGCCTCCTGTCCAAGAGCCCCCAGCACCCTCAGAACACAGTGAATGTATTCCCTCTACCAGTGCCGAAGCGGGACCAGAAGCTCGGAGCCTCATCGACCCTGACTCTGATTCCAGAAATAACTCTGCTTTTGATAAATTAAGGCAGCCAGAAGGGTCTGCGGAACCTCTGTGGCCACGGTCTAGAAATGCCCACACAGAGTCTCTGCCATCAGGGTATGTCAAGAAAATGTTTTTAATGTTTGACTTCCATTTAAGTAGAAAATTTCTGATGAAGTATGACTATTGATTGAATATGTATATGAAATGTTCCTTTTGTTGAAAAAAATAAGTCCAGGGGCTGGAAAAATGGATCAGCAGTTAAAAGTACATACTGCTTTTACAGAGAGCTCAAGTTCAGTTCCCAAACTTCATGTCAGGAAGATCACAGTTCAGTTCCAAGTACTATTCCTCTGACCTCTGTGGATGCCTGCACTCATGTACATACATACCTCACACTCCTACACTGACACACACATGCACGTAATTAAAAATAACAAAAGTAAATCTTTTAAAAAATTAACTATAAGTTGGAACATTCATACTATTTATTTGCTCCAGTGAAACTGCCTTTTGTAGTTAACAACCACTTATCTGGTCAAAATATGTGTTGTACAAAATGAACTACAAACCTGATGTGAATCTGCAAGACCTTTTGATTTTATTTTCACTTTGTATAGTAGTGACCATGACACACTTGTCATAACTCCAGTTCTTGTGTGTGATCTTGCATCCCTGATATCAGCTACCCATCCATTTCCAATACTAGTGAATACTGGTGACAGTCTCCAAAGGGCTCTGTTACCAGCCTGGATTTTCCTGATCTTTGTTTTTCCTAATGTCCTATAAGTTTCCTAATCTCCTTTAAGTATGATTATTTAACTCCCAATGATTTTCTTTAAAGATTGCTTTATCCTTACTTATTCTTTTTAGTACTGGAGATACTCATATTAATTATTCATTCATTTTGTGTATGTTCAAGATACAAGTTTAGACTTAGACTTGATACCATGTGTGCATAATATAGTTTGAAATTGCTGTGATAAAAATATAACACTTGTTTTAGCTACTGTTCTATTGCTGTGAAGAGACATCATGACCAAGGCAACTTATAAAAGAAAACATTTAACTGGGGGCTTCCTTATACTTTCAGAGGCTTAGTCTGTGACCATCGTAGTTGGGGAGCATGGCAGTAGACAAGCATTGTCTTAGAGCAGTAGTTGAGAGCTCACATCTGATCCATAAGCAGTGGGCAGAAAAAGAATGAGACTGAGCCTGGTGTGGGCTTTTGAAACCTCAAAGTCCACCCCCAGTGACACACTTTCTCCAACAAGGCCACATCTTCTAATGCTTCCTAAATAGTCTACTGTAAACCAACCATTTAAATATATGAGCCAGTAGGGGCCATTTTCATTCAAATTACCACATTAGTTTTCAGTACAGCCTACATTAATTAGAATGTTGACATGTAGCTTTTGAAACTACCTTAGAGGGCTCTGATTAACCTTATTCCTTTGATTGCTCATCATAGTATTGTGTTCTGACTTCTTTCCTGGTTTTGAAACTTTTTTCTCAGTGATTATTACTTGTTCGTTTGGTTTTACCATTGTGTAATTGTGGTTTCAGACTGTGATCTGCATGTGCTTCCCTAGTAGATCTTATCATTTAAGTTTTGGTACCTTTATGTGTGGTCAGAAGTGACTTCTGTTCAAGATACTCTGCCCCTGCCTACTGCAAAGACTGTAAATACCCATGGTTTGCTAACAAAGCTACAATACAGTGTATAATATCACCTTCAATTAATGCTATAACCCAGAAGCCCTGTTTTAGAACCCTACTCATTAGATATCTGAGGTAAGCCTTGTAATGTGAAAAGGGGACAAAACAGTGTAGAAAATGCTACTTGAGTTCTTAAGAGATGGCTTTTTGGTGAAGATACCTGCCACCAAGCCCGGCATCATGCAGTCCCTGGGATCCACATGGTGGTAGGAAAGAGCCAACTCCCACTAATGCTGTTCTGACTTCCATATGCACCCAGTGGCTTGCACACATACACACACACAATAATGATGATGATAATGATAATAAACTTTAAAAATTAATTCAAAAAAGAAAATGCTGCTTGAAAAAAGGAGACTATTTCAATATTATCAGAGGATAAGAAAATGTGTCACGTGCACAACCAGGTATTGTGCAGAATGAATGTTTAAAGAATTTAAAGTCTCCAGGAAAAGTAAAACGGTGGAAGCTTTAGTTGATAAAGGTAAAGAAACTTGCCAGCAAATAGAGCAAAAAGTTAAGTGTGTAACATACATATCAAGTTGAAATATTAGATGACTAGTTACAAGGTTTCAGGAAAAAAAGAGGAGATCTGTAATAAAATGACAAGAAACTCACAAATATGATAGGCAAATTTTTTCTTAGAGAAAAGACTTACCAAAACTCTTGATAGTAAGTGAAAAGAGACCTATTTTAGATTATTCACCATGAACATTTTATTCTGTTGTGTGCCCTCCTGCCCCACCAAAAGAAATCTCAAGTACATCCAGATATTTTTTTAATATTTATTTTTGCTTATGTGCATGAGTGATTTGCTTGCCTGTATATCTGTGCAACATATGCATGCAGTACCTGTGGAGACCAGAAGTGAATGTTATATCTCCTGAAACTGGAGTCAGCGTATGGGTGCTGAAAATCTCACACAAGTCCTGAACCAGTGCCTTTAACTGCTGAGCCATCTCTCCATCCCCCAGAGATTTTGTTAAAAGGCAAAACAAACCAGGTCTTGTCAGACTTGTCAGAATCAACAGACTTGTCAGAATCAACAGAAGCTGGAAATCAATTTACCTGAGTGCTGAGGGAAATTGCATATAATTCAGAGTTCTGTAACCAGTTGCACAGTTGGGAGGATGTTAGTTTGGTTGGAAAGAGGGTGTTAAGTGTTTTTAGATGTTCAGGAAAGGGACCTATGGCTTTACTTTTCACAGCCAGAAGTCAATACATTTTACTTGAAATTAAGTAAGTCATATGAAGTTAAGCATGTTGATAAGAAAAGAGGTAAATACCAGAGCATGTACAAATGGTTTGAAAATGTTGCCATGGGGATGAGAATATAAAATGATGGGGGCAGCAGGTGTGTTTGTTTGAGCTATGTGACCCATAGACTGTATGAGTCTATTTAACTACTAGGAAGGTATTATGAACTATTTGAAAGTGTATATTATTCTGATAAAAATCAAAGCCAGATTTAAACCAATAAAGACTGCATTTTGAAACCAGAATTGCAATAAGGACTGGTTTTAGAAATTATTACCTAAAAATAGCAAAAGTACCATTGCTGGAAATTACCTGAAATGCTTCTAGTTTTGGTTGTTAAGCTTTCAAATAACTGAATGGCCTGAGATGTATGTTATAGGTATTCCTGAAATGCCTGTGAAATCTAAGTTCTCTATTTAAATCTTTCCTTCCATAAACTTTTTCTTAAAAGGAACAAATGAAGCAAATCTAAAATGTCATGTCACTTATTAATGATATGCTCTGAGAAGAATAGTTTGTATTTTTGAAGTGCAGAATAGCATAAATGTTGGTATAGTATTTTATGCCTTGGTAATTTAATAATTTCTGTGGTTTTAGTGTAAGTATAAATTTGGGGATTTTTATTGTTCATGGGCATTACTTGAGCATTCTATGACTTCGTTTTCTCAGGTCTGACAAATTGTTGAATGAATTTGTGTTCCTGTTATTTTTAAATATGAATGTATAGGTACAACCTCTCCTTAGAAAACAACTGTATTATGTGCAGTCTTAGTATATGAAGACAATAGAAAGTAAGTTAATAACTGAAGGCTTCTCTGACAGTGAGTTAAATTAAACTGGATTCCTATATTTATCAGAAATGAACATATTTTTAATTTGTTTTATTTTAAAATTGAAAATGAAGATGAAATGCAGAAACATGAAAATTTTAATTTATATTAATTATATATATTTATATATATAATGCATCTTGATCTTATTTCTTCCACCCCTCCCTCTAGCTATCCCCTCTCCCCTAGTACAGTTCCTTTTTTCCTGTTACCTCACTGAATTCAGCTAATGCTGTCTGTATGCACATGGGTGTGGGACCATTCATTTGGTCATGACCAACTTACTGGTGCCTGTGCCTCTCAAAAAGTGACTTTCAGTTTACTATCAACTACTAGTAGCTTCCCAGCTGGGGGTGGGACCTTGGAAACCCCTCCCCGTTCCATGTTAGTGTTAACTGGCTTGATCTTGTGCAGATATTAAACAGGTAACTTTGCCACTTAGTTTATGCATTCACCAGCCATGACACATCCAGAGGACAGCATTTCACAACACTCCTACCTTTCCCTGGATCTGCATTCATTGTGTGCCCTCTTCCATAGTGTCCCCTGAGCCTTCAAAGGGGGGTTGATGGAGATGTTCTTCTACAGCTGAGGAGTCACAGTCACTTACTCTTAGCACTTTGAACAGTTGTAAGGCTTTGTGTAAACACTACCCTCTTCATTAAGACACTTCTCTGACCAAAGTATAGAATAGCACAAGTTTATGTAAATATAAATATTTAGTAGGCGGTTAGACAACATGATGCTATCGCAAACAGCATCAGTGGGTTCACCCCTCGGACCCATGATTGTCCTACCCATGGATTTTGACCAGCTTTACAATACCAGGCATGAGTTCCTGTCAATAGAGCAAGCCTCAAATCCAATCAAGAACGTAGCTGCTTGCTCTATAAATGGTCTAACCACTGTCTGACCAGTGGGCACATTTTGCCTGGCAGGTCAGTATTAGCATGCAGGGTCGGGTGCTGGGTAAGACTGTTGTCTTTTCTCTTTAAGCACTCCTTATGATACTTTCCAGTACTATGAAAACAGGTCAAAGTTTTTTTATTTTTGTTTTCCCCCTCCTAATATGTCATATTGAGAAAATTGCAGAGAAGAAGAAATAGGGAACCAAGAAAAGAAAATCAAAGTGGGGAAAACACATTGAGAGGCTTTCAGGAAAAGATAAGTTTGTGATGTTCATTCTAAGGACTACCGAAATAGAGTGGAGTAGATGTGCACTGTGAGACTGCATGCAGAGATGACAGACTTGGCAGGGACAGCACCACCACGTGTCCTTAAGGTGCTTCTGCTGAAAACCTTTTAGATGCATAATTTGAAAATCAAAGACAAAATGGATATTACTTTCTGGCATTTAGTACCTTAGGCTTGCTCTTTGCTGAGATTATTTTACTCTTGATTATTTTTCTTTTCTGATAATTTGGAAAAGTGTAAATTGATAAATTTAAAAATTTTGAGTATTCTATGCTTTTTTTCTTAAGTACAATTATTTATTTTCCAGTTCTGTTATGAAGAATTAATAATTAAGAGGTCAAAATACCTTTATAGCCAGGCAGTGGTAGTTCATATCTTTAATCCCAGCACTTGGGAGGCAGAGGCAGGGAGATCTTTGTAAGTTCGAGTTCGAGGACAGACAGGGCTAAAGTAACCCTGTCTTGGGAATCCCCCCCCAAAAAAAAACCCCACAAATAAAATATGTTTATAGTATTGTGTGTGTGTGTGTGTGTGTGTGTGTGTGTGTGTGTGTGTGTGTGTGCCTTGCGAAGTAAAGCCTGTTTTTCATGTTCCTGATTCTATAACATTTTCAGATTTCCTAATCTTGTTTTTTATTTCTATTTTTGTACTTTTATTATAGGTGGGAACAGAGAAAAGATCCTCATGGTAGAACCTATTATGTGGATCATAATACTAGAACTACCACATGGGAGAGACCACAGCCTTTGCCTCCAGGGTAATGCATTATCCTTATGTATCTTTAGTTAGGTTTTTATTGTGTGTAAGTTTTAAATGTGTTGATATATATAATTTTTGGACAGTGGTTTTAGTGAAATAGACTTTATATTATGGTTCTCAATGGATGGATTAAATGAATAACTATAACATGGTGATCCTATTTATTTAAAAATGAGCCTTCGGATGTGCTATATTGAAACACCATATCTGTGTTTTCCAGTGATAAGTTCTCAATACCATAGGACCAAGTACTAAGTTCTTTCCTTCATTTAAAAAAAAAAAAAAATTCACAACATCTGAACATCATTTGACACTTGAAGCCAGACATTTGGGTGTCAAAGGCTGAAGGAATGTATTCCAAGCATAGGGAGAATGTTTGAGGGGAATTCAATAGTATAATTTAACTTAGCTGTCAATGCAGTATGTAAAGAATTATTTTAAAAAGCAAAGGAACATCAGTTTATCATTGACTTTGAGACAGGGTAGTAGCAGGAACTTGATTTAGTACATTTTTTATTTAAAACTATAAATTATTTAAAACTATAACTTTTTATATGATTTAATATAAGCTTACATGTAACTAAGCTTGTAGATTTTAATTTTGGGATCAGTCTTTTGTTTGACCCATATATATATATACATACATACATACATACATACATACATACATACATACACACATACACACACACACACATACACACACACACACACATATATATATATATATATATATCTTTAGAGGGGATTTGAGTTTGAGTTTCTTTGTGTCAACAGATTCCATTATATTTCTCTATGTCAACAGATCCTATTATATTTTAAATAGTAAGTTTGGAAGACTTCTGAATTGGATCCAGAGGGGATTCTTAGTCATAGTATAAAATTAATGACAAAAACTGGTTTAGTAGATCCCAGGTTTTGGGAAATACAAGGAGTGAACAGAACCCTGGAGCCTCAGTAGAATTCTGGTTGATAAGAGATCTAGAACAGGGCCTCTGCTCTTCTGGGGCTACAAGAGTGCAGGGCAGGATGACACACAAGGCACACTTGGGACCAGCCGCTCAGATGAGGCCTCTAAGGGACTCTGGGAAATGAAACTGAAAAAGTGCTAGGTTCCTTCTGGCAATGTGCCTGAAAACTGTTTCTCAAGAATTAGCAAGGAGTTAAGTCTGTCTGTGATAGAATAGGAATTCAGCACAGATAAATGTTTCACAGATTCATATCCTCTTTTTGAAGAATAAAAATAGCCAGACCTTGTGGCATATTCCTGTAACTCTAGCACTTGGGAGGGAGAAGCAGGAGAACTGTGAGTTGAAAGCCAACTGGTCCCATGGATTAAGACCAATGTGGTCTCCATAACTTCACCCTGTCTCAAAAGACCAGGACTGGGATGTAGGTCCACAGGTAGAGAACATGCCTAACATGCTCAGTTGCCTGGGTTTCATCCTTAGCAATGCCAATAGATAAATAAAGTAGAAATACCTATGTTTCAATATGTCAGGAGATTACTCATTGCTTCATTTTTATTGCTTATTTGTGGTAGTTGGGAAAGAAGAGTTGATGATCGTGGAAGAGTTTATTATGTGGATCATAACACCAGAACAACAACCTGGCAGCGGCCTACCATGGAATCTGTTCGAAATTTTGAACAGTGGCAATCTCAGCGGAATCAATTGCAGGGAGCTATGCAACAATTCAACCAACGATACCTCTATTCGGTAATAAGCAAATTGCAAGGTGTTAATGTTATCTTTCCCTTACTTTGGTGGCTTTCTAAAATATGTAGACTATATTTCAGTGGTTTGTTTGCTTCATTTTATTTTTTGTTAATCTTTAATATTATTTCTGATACATATAAATGAGTAAAAATTCTTGAAATTTTTCTGGCTTTGGAGTATTTAGATTTTGGATTAGGGTGCTCATCCTGTATATAGTAAATAAGAAAGTTTGTACTATGAGGTCTGTTTTGTTTCTGTGTAAGACTTTGTGTCCATGAAAATTTGGAAACAGGACAAAATTAGGTATTGGGTATGTGTCAAAATAGTTTCTGCTAAATAGCAGAATCCTCTTAAATAAATGCAAGTTAAGTTACCTCAATAGAATACCAGGGCTAGAAAAAGAAAGAAGCGTTCTCTAACTTAACAGTGCTGTCAAGCAGCTGAGTTCTGCCTTTTAGAGTAGCATCTATTACCATGCATCTTGCCTGCATTATCTTTTGTCACTCATCTTACCTGCACCATCCATTGTCACTCATCTTCCCTGCACCATCCATTGTCACTCATCTTACCTGCACCATCCATTGTCACTCATCTTCCCTGCACCATCCGTTATCACTCATCTTACCTGCACCATCTATTGTCACTCATCTTACCTGCACCATCCGTTATCACTCATCTTCCCTGCACCATCTATTGTCACTCATCTTCCCTGCACCATCCGTTATCACTCATCTTCCCTGCACCATCTATTGTCACTCATCTTCCCTGCACCATCCATTGTCACTCATCTTCCCTGCACCATCCATTGTCACTCATCTTCCCTGCACCATCCATTGTCACTCATCTTCCCTGCACCATCTATTGTCATTCATCTTATCTGCACCATCCGTTATCACTCATCTTACCTGCACCATCTATTGTCACTCATCTTACCTGCACCATCTATTGTCACTCATCTTACCTGCACAATCTGTTCACACAGTTTACTAGTACCATTTATTACCATGCATCTTTCCTGTACCATCCATTGTCATGCACATTACCTGCACCATCCATTGTCACTCATCTTACCTGTACCAGCTATTGCCATTCATCTTTCCTACACCTGTTCACACATCTTACCTGCACCTTCTATTCACATACCTTACTAGTACCATCTATTACCATGCATCTTTCCTGCACCTTCTAGTGTCATGCACTTTGCCAGCTATTTTGGAAATAAAGAGCTGCTGTCCTTGGCCTGATTTCGAGAGTCTCTGCCATGAAAGGGAAGGGTAAACTGAAAGGGGAGAGCTTTCCTGTAGCAGGCCCTTGTACTTAGCAAGCCCCTGCATATTTGCTTAGCAGCTCAGCAAAGGACACCTTAGCAAAGGATCAGGGCCTTCTGCTTCTGCCTCATTGGCCAGAATTTTCTCTTGATACATTACTAATTCAGATTCAGTGGACTATTCCTTATGGACACATTGTTCAAACAAAATTAGTGGTTTGATTATCAAGAAAGACAAGATAAAGATGGGGAGATAATGAGTACAGTTAGCACTATCTGTGATAGTATGATCAAATATTTATCAAGATGTGTATTTATTACCATTGAGTAATTATTTTGCAGAGTAATTATACTATAATTTTTCTAATTTTGAAAAAATAATGTCTCATTTAAATGACATCATTCTCTCTATATACTGTTCACCTATCTCTTACTCCTTAGAAAGGACTAGGAAATTAATGTATTGATATTAGTATATTATTTCTGAGTCATTTACTAATAATTATATCAGCTGATGGCCACTCTTCATAATATTTTTGACCTTTGTTTCTTGAAATTGCTATATTCCTATTACTTCATAATATTTTAAAAAATTCTAAGATATGACTGTTAATTGCTTACTATATTAGTATATTTCTGGCTAAAATTGCTATCTTATTTCTGTCCTGAACCTCTTTTTCAACCAGGCTTCAATGTTAGCTGCAGAAAATGATCCATATGGACCTTTACCACCAGGCTGGGGTAAGCTGATAGGATGTTTATAAAAATATGTGTAGTGTATATAGGTATGAAGTTGTTATTAAATGTTATTCATACTTTATGTTTTAGAAAAAAGAGTGGATTCAACAGACAGAGTTTACTTTGTGAATCACAATACAAAAACAACTCAATGGGAAGACCCAAGAACTCAAGGGTATGTGTGTACTACAGTCTTAAGTTATCACACATGGGTAGATGGATGGATGGATGGAATCAGTGAGCTGTAAGTACCTAAAACATTACCCACCTTATGATTGTGATTTTTATCTTATAGCTTACCAAATGAAGAACCCCTGCCAGAAGGCTGGGAAATCAGGTATACTCGGGAAGGTGTTAGGTACTTTGTTGATCATAACACAAGAACAACAACATTCAAAGATCCTCGCAATGGGAAATCATCCGTGTAAGTGGAAACCCGAATTTTAAAAATATTACTTAGTGAAGACAGGAGGTTTAGTCTCTAATGTATCCCCAAATTTAGAAACAAGTCATTTTTGGCTAAGAAAACACGTAGAGGTAATATCTAACTATCACTGTTTTTGCTCTATGTTGTTCCAGAATGATTTGTGGTATGACATTTTTTAATTAAACAATATATGTTCATTATATATTATTTTATATAATAACAATAGCAAATATGTGTGTAGTAATTACTACATGCCAAAAGTGTTTTAAGCATTTTAGATATGTTAGCTCATTTTTATCTTCTCATGACCTTTGAGATATTATTTTCCTATTAATTTTTTTTCTTTTAACAAGGCCTTTTTCCCCCTTTAAGAAGTAATAAGCTATTTATTTCCTTAAAATACACAATATATAATTTACTTTTTTTTATTCTTGTCTGTTTCCTTCATTGGTGCATTTCTTACACAAAACAGCCACTTTTTTCCATGTTATTAGCAAATAATGCTTTCACTGTCTAGAAGAATGCCAGGTCCCTGCTAAGTGTTTCGTAAACTTCTTGGATGAAGGAACTTCCCTGATTGTGACAGCAGAAGACAGGATCTTGTGCTCACTCTAACATGAAAGTGCCTTATATTCTCTGCTAAAACTCTAGACAGGAGGGCTCCTACTTGGAGCTGAATCTCGTGTCTGCCTCTTTGCTCATTGTCCAGCTGAGTCACATGATCTGCATGTAACTTGCTCCAAGAATTTAATTTTGCTTTGCTTTGTTTTTGTTCAGATCAAGTTTAAGATGAGGTACAGGGTTTTTCCTCATGTTTCTCTTATATAGAATCCCTGACTTCCTCAGCTTTAAGAATTATCAGAATTCTTGTAGTTTTTTTTTTTCCACAAATAAAATAGTGAAAAAAAACCAGAATTAACAAAAATTCTTTTAAGTAGTCTATAGTAGATTTTAGGACTTCTATAAACGAAGGGCTTATCATACGCAGTTTCATACTTAATATTACAATTTTATTTGTTATGTTTATTTTTAGAACTAAAGGTGGTCCACAGATTGCTTATGAACGCAGCTTTAGGTGGAAACTTGCTCACTTCCGTTACTTGTGCCAGGTACTAAAGTGGTAAATAAATCTCATTTATAATCATTTAGTCTGATCATTATATAATACATATGATGTGGCTTACACAATACGATATTTTTATTTTTAGTCTAATGCACTACCCAGCCACGTAAAGATCAATGTGTCCCGACAGACTTTATTTGAAGATTCCTTCCAACAGGTAAGGTATTATCAAAATGAAACAGTGCTTCTTGTCTTATTTTATTCTGTGCTTCTAAAGGGAGTAAAAAACTTTTGAGTCTTTAAGTATTTATAATAGGCCTCATTTTTTGAGTGGCTAAATTAGTAATTACATTAAACTTTATTATGTGGGCTAGAGGCATACATGGAGGCAAAGCATTCATATACATAAAATAAAATTAAACTTTACTCTGCAATAAGTGATGACTGCCAATTATTGACAGATTTTTTTAATTGCTTTGCTTTCCTCCTCACAGCATCTCTGTGAGAGAATTCCTACCATCATCTCCAGTTTATAGCTAAAGTAGGAGACTGAGAGAATCAAGAATTTAGGTGTAGCTGGATGTGGTATTTACACCTTTATTCTCAGCATTCTAAAAGCAAAGACAGGCAGATCTCTGTGAATTCATGTAAGGCTACTTAGTGAGAATCTGTCTTAAAAATCAACCAACCAACAAATAAATAAAATAATTTAGGTGTATTCTTACTAAAATCAAGTTTGAACAGCATTGGAGCAAGTCTGTTTTCACATTTGTAAAATTTGTGAAAATGCTAACAGATCAAGTTGGTGGGTCTATAAATCCATTTGAATATTCCATTAGTAACTCATGTTCATTCTGACCACTAGGTTTCACTGCTTCATCTAGCCTAAGCATGTTGTTTAAAATTACAGTCCCTGCCTCCCCCCCATCTGTGGTCGTTTTCAAATAATTTCATTATTTTCATAGCACTGCTCCCTCCCTGTTTCTCTTACTGGAATGTATGCTTTGTGAGAACATGGACTATTGGTTTACTTTACCTTTGTCCAGTACCTAGATTAGTGCCTTTAATATGACAGTAATTCAGTAAATACTTAATGAATGAATACATGAATGTAACTTGTCTGCCTTTCTGGAGTCATCTGCAGAATATTATTAAAAACAGAGTAATGTCATTTTTTTATGAAGAAGTAGAGAATTTTTCATGGTCTTTCACTCGCTAAAGCAATGACTGTAACTTTTTTATGTACTCAAATATGAGTTTCATTAATTTTTTTATTATTTCTTTTATTTTTAAGATTATAGTATAATTACAACACTTTCCCCCTTCCATTTTTTCCCTTCACACTAATATACCCCTTCTGGCTCTTTTTCAAGTTTATGGCCTCTTTTTTCACTAATTATTGTTACATATATGTATGTTATATATATATTTATATTCACAATACATAAATACAACCTGTTTCTTCTGTATGATATTATTGGTATGTATATGTGTTTATGGCTGACCATATACTATTAGAGAGCTAATTGGTGTGCTCTTCCCCAAGGAAGACTATTTCTCCTGCTCTTATCATTCCTTAGTTGCCTGTAGTTCTTTAAATAGGGCTGAGTCCTTGAGGACCTTCCCCTGTTCATATTTGCATGTCCCTTGGTTTCCTCCTTGGTCTAACTCACCGTTAGCCACTCATGTTGTTAGACTTTATGGGTGTAACTTCTGACATTCCTTGGAGAAACAATTTCACAACAAACTCCCTGATGATCCTTTGGCTCTTACAATCTTTCTGACGCCTTTTCTGCAATCTTCTCTGAGCTTGAGGTGTGGGAGTTGTTTTGCAGATGTAGCAGTTGTGACTGGACTCCACAACTCTACATCTTAATTGGTTGTTTTCTGTAATAGTCTCTGTTGCAAAGAGAACATTCTTTGATCAAGAATCAGAACTATATTTATCTGAGGGCAAATATTTAGAATATAGTTAGAGATTATGCTGGTTTAGCAAAGAGGTTCTCTTCTAGGATCTATGACTTCACTAGTGCCAGGGAGTTGGCTAGGTTTCCAGTACCAGGCATGGTATCCCTCTTATTGAGGCAGTCTTAGGTCCAATTACAGAGCTATTGGTTACCATCAAGGTATGTTTGCCACTACTGGCACCCTGTGGGTTATTGTGCCATGCTAGTTGCTATTATTATTCATTTTTGTGTGTGTGTGTGTGTATAGAGGTTAAGATGGAATAGTAATACTGACGTTCTGGTGACATTTATATCGTATTTTTATTTACTAGCTGTTGTTAAGCTTTAGAAAAGATAGCCATTGTAGTGGTTATCAAAACTGCTTTTGTGTATGAGTGACTAATTCTGAGCCAAATAATTGTTTTAAGTTTCCAGGTTTTTACAAATGGCTTGTTCAGATATATATTTGAATTGTTTTTAGTAACTGTGTATCTAGTTCATGTTAGTTATTGTTTTACTTGTCCTGTCTTAAGTCTGTTCAGATATGGGGTTAAGCCCATAATTGCTTCCTAGGGAATCCTATTAGTGAGCTGTGTTTGGACTCAGACCTGCCAGTCTTGGCTGCGGTTCTGTTGGATGAAAGTAGATACACATTTTTATCCCTAGTAGAGCATGCTTATGATTAACTTTGATGGAAACTTATTAATTATAAAAATGTTTGGATCTTACTTTAAGGCATTCTGTTGTGTAAATATAAATCACTGTGTAAGGATTGCAGACGAATTTCTATCCTCCTAAGGGATAGAAGATGTGATGTAGGTGGGACTCAAAAAGTCCTTTCACCTTACAGTAAGAGAAGAGCTTACCAGTCACAAGCTGAAACATTATCAAACTGGAGGAGGGAAGGGGAGAAAATGTAACCTAACTTTTCCTCTCCTCCCACTAACTCTTAAGTAGAACTACCCTTTAACACTAGAAGGGGGAAGAATATATGAAAGTGAGTCAAAGAGAACTTAAAGGATTGTCCATTTTTAGCCAGTTATGGGACAAACCAGATGAACTGCAGAATTAAATATGAGATAGTGGAATGTGTGCTTTTAAAATTACAGATTAAATTTAAATTGAATTATTTTGGAAGTAACTTATACAGTGTATAAATGTTTAAATATTCATATTTTTTGTCTTTAATTAGATTATGGCATTAAAACCGTATGACTTAAGGAGGCGATTATATGTAATATTTAGAGGAGAAGAAGGCCTTGATTATGGTGGCCTTGCAAGGTAAAGTTAAAAAGTTACTTTTAATAAGTCTATTTTGTCATCTGCAGTGGATGTATTCTTAAAAAGATATATGAATATATTAAATTACCTTTTTAGTAGCAACCAGAGTTTTTTGGGGTAACTATTATTATAAATTTTTTTGCGTATGTATATATGTATGGTATATGTGTATGTGTACTTACATGAGTATGGTACATGTGTGTACATGGGTGTATGCTATGTAGGGGTGTGTGTACATGTGTGTGGAGGCCTGAGGTTGACATGTGGTGTCTTCCTCTATCCCTTTCTTCGTTAAATATTTAGACATGGTCTCTTGCTGAATCTAGAGTTCAACATCTGAGCTGGTATGATTAGCCAGCTTTTTCTGGGATTTTCTATCTCCACATCCCATGTACTGGGATTACAGTTGGTCACATGACCACATGCCCAGAACACATAGGTTCTGGGGATCAGAGAACTCAGAGTGACCTGCCTGCATGGCATGTGCAGGGTCCAACCATTATGGTTATTCTTCTGTACATGCTAAAGTTCTTATCAGATGGTTAGTATTCCACATAATTAGTAGCATGGGTTTACAGAAGATATTTAGTAATTTTGCTATTATAACATTGCCTATTACTTTTATTTGTGCTTTTGCTCTGTTCTGAGTTTATTTGGAAAATTAAATTGTCTACATTTACTGAATACAATGTTAAGAGATACCTGTGAAGTAGTTAATGAAAATCTTTTTTTCTTTGTTTTCTGCCTACTTGCTTCACACAAATATAAATTTACATTTTTTAAGTTTATCAGTTTTATTGTCTTCCTAAGAACTCAGATTTTCATAGAATTAGATAACCCCAATTTCAATATTGCTGAGAAAAGTGCAGAACCAGGTCACAACTGGTAGAAGTAGGTACATAATATTGCTGTGGGTTTGTTAGTGTTTCTATTAGACTCTTTGTCCAAAACATTATTACATGTCTTCAGTAAGCACTTCTATCCAGTAAATATTCACATTGTGTGAATTGTGAGTGAATTTTCTCAATTTCAGAAATGCCCAGGCATTGAAAAGAAAGGTACATCTTAGAAAAGAGAGAACACATTTTTTTTCTTCAGTGTCTGACATGATAACATTTATATTCTTTTGTGACCCATTGTTTGTCTTATTTGGTTCCAGTTCTATGTTTTGATAGTTTAAATACATGTAATCAGTTCTTGTGTATCATTATTTTCTTACTCCTAACTTTTGATTTGATCATGCATTTGTTGGTTAGACTCATCATCGAAGTGCTTATTCGAGAGTTCATGGGGGGATATGTCCCTATAGTTGTTACATGTTTAGAAGGATTTTCCTTGTTGGTTATATAAACAACCTCTCTAGACAGACATTTCTTGCACAGGATTGTCTATCCAGTACTCTTAGGTACTGCTTCACTATTGTTTGGCACTATGTAAGCCAATGTAAGCACTATGAAGTGTGAGACCAAACCTTTGTCAGAAAATTTCCCTAGGTATCCACACTGTCCTTTAAAGTTCACTAGTTTCAGTGCAGATTACTTGGTTTTTTGTTTTGTTTTTCACAACAGGGCTTGTCTGGGTAGGACTCAGTCTATAGACCAAGCTGGCCTCAAACTCGCAGAGATCCGCCTGCTTTTACTTCCCTCCGGAGTGCTGGGATTAAAGGCATGCGCCACCATGCCTAGCATTTGGTCTTTTTTAAAGGAACATATTAAGAGCTTTAATTTCTGGGAAGTTTTCTTCTATTTTACCTTTGAATATTTTTTTTTCTGTTCTATTTGTTCTTTTCTTTCTTCAGGAACATCAATCATGGGTATGTGGAATCTCCTTTGTCAGTCTTACATGTCTATTATATTTTCTCTTAATGTATCTGTTATCATTTGATTCTAGTGCTTTTCCTGTTTTGGTTTTCTGAAGCCTGTCCTCATGTCACTGTTTGCAGGATTGCCCTATCTTTTGCTGCTTGTCATGTGATTTTTCTTCATTTGCTGTTTTACTGTTTTCTTCATTTTCTTCTCTAGGCCATGCTAGCTCTTATGTATTAGGTCATGATTCTTTCAGCCTTGTGTGTCTAGTTTGAGAGTGCAGAGCCGAGCTTGTGTTGAAAGTCAATTCTGCCTCTTGCTAGTTAGGAACTTTTCTTTTGTGTTGGTATTAGGATAAAGGCTTTTGTCATGTATCCATTCTTCTTTTGGGTCAATACAGTTTTCTCTGGTTTGCTGCTTTCTAAAAGTGATCTGAAGCAGATGGAAATTTAATTCCGTGTGTGTGTGTGTGTGTGTGTGTGTATGTATGAACACATTCTTATTAGATTTACTTATTTCTCTTCTCTGAGAAAAATGTCTTACTTCAGCCCAACCACAAAGTAAAGTTACTTGGTTCACTTAGTATTTTGAGCCTGAATTTAATTATACGAATTTACATTAATTCATCGTTGATTTTGTGTAGTGACTGTTGTCTGTACCCTTCAGATAGTTTCAGGGAATGTTTTAAAAGCTCTATTAAACATTGGTAAGCAAAATAGCAGATCATAGGAATTGGCATAGAGGTGACCCGTGATGACTTAAAAAATTTGCAAATTTCTTGATAGTATTGCACAAATTACCAGATTGAGATGAAGATTAAAATTGTGTCTTTTCTTGAGGTAAATGTGGTGATAGCTTTAATCCCCACACTCGGGAGACAAAGGCAGACAGACTTCATTTGAGGCTGGCCAGCCTGGTCTACCTAGCAAGTTCTAGGCTAGTTAAGGCTACATAGTGAGATCCTGTCTTAAGACACCAAACAAAACACCAGTGGCAAGAAGAACAACAACAGTCATGGCTTTTCGTTAAAAACACTATACCCTCATTTCTGCTTTTACTGGCACTGATTGGCTGAATCCTTTAGGATAGCATACACTCTTCACAGTAGAAAGTACCCACCCCTCTACAACCACCATCGTATGAAGACTAGGTTATTGTGCCTAGAAGTTCTCTTTCCTTAAAGCAGTGATATTTATTAGCAGGTTTATAATGAAAAATGGGGATTGTAACAAGGCAAAGCCCTATGAACTCACAGTGATCATAGTAAATATTTGAGTTTGGAATCTTGCTTTAGAACTTTTTATTATTGTTTATTTTGTGTTCAGAATTATTAAAGTATAGCAAAATAGATAGTTAAAAGTTAGTAAGCACTTAACACATTTAAAGATTTCACTTTTTAGTTTTAACACCATTTTGAATACATTTGTAATGCAATTTAAACTGTTCTATAAAAGCCAGATATGCCAGGCCGTAGGAACCTGTGGCAGGAGGACTGCTACAGACTCAGAGTCAGCCTGAGCTGTGTATCAAGTTCCAGACTAGCCTGAGATAGGAAATATGGCCTTATCTCAAAAACAAAATACCAATTCACTGTTTCATAGCAGCAGTGTTATGTGATGCAAGTCACCATCAACTATTTACTAGAACCTGTAATGGAGGCTCAGAGTATAGCTCAGTGGTTTATCCATTGCTTAGCATGCATGAAATCCTGGATACCATTCTCAGCATCAACAAAATAAAGAACATCCCAAAGCATAATAAAAAGCTTGTTAAATATATATTATAGAATACCTATAAGAGTTAAGAATACTGAAAATATATAGACATGGTTTTTGCCTTAGAGGCTAATGTGCATAAAAATACACTTTCAGATTGTTATTGCACAATGAATGCAATGACAGATAGGAACTATACTCTGAAATTGCTTCAGAAATTGCTGAGATTGAATTGAAATGTGAATTGAGAAAAAGTGTAATCTGCATAGCTTGAATTGAAGTTGAGCAAAGATACCCAAAGAAAAGTTTGGTGCAGAAAAGACCTACCAGGGAGGACCAATGAGCTTGCAGTTTGACAATGTAGAACTAGCAGTGGCTTTAAATGGAAAGCCAGGTCATAAAATATAAATGGAGGAGGGCTAAGAAATGATTAGGTGTGGGTATGTGTGTACATGCGTGCATGCATGTATGGGTGTGCATGCACACATTTATTTACTTACGGATATATTTAAGACCTATTAAAATTACACATATGTGAATACTAAAAGTAATCTTGACTTATTTTCTTATAGAGAATGGTTTTTCTTGCTTTCCCATGAAGTTTTGAACCCAATGTATTGCTTATTTGAGTATGCAGGCAAGAATAACTATTGTTTACAGATAAATCCAGCATCAACCATAAATCCTGATCATCTTTCATACTTCTGTTTTATTGGTCGCTTTATTGCAATGGTGAGTTCTCAACTTTCAGTTACTTTGTTTACATGTTGCTTATTTCAGAAGTGCTCCAGGGGCTAGGGAGATGTTTCAGTGGGCACATTATCTTGCCATGCAGGCTCAAGGACTAGGTTCAAACCTTCAGTGGCCTGCTTGTAATTCCAGTACTCAGAAGGGAATACTGGATCCTCAGAGCAAGCTGGCTAGGTAAATTTGCTGAAACTGCACATTTCAAGTTTGATTGGGAGAGTCTGTGTCAATATTGTGGTGAATAATTTAGGAAGACTCAACATTAGCCTTGGGCCTACACACACATGTGCATGCCACATACACAGACATGTGCAAAAGTGTATTGTATAAAAATACTTTGAATGAAATTTTATAACCTCCCTGAGTAGTTAGAGGCAATTGACAGTTATTGGGGGGAAGTGTCAGATTCCTCAGTGGTGGAGCCACCAGTAAACTTCCCTTCCTTATGTAAAAGTATTTCACTCATGCTCATTCAAGCAGCCCAGATTAAATACAATGGGATGTGTGTGCTTAAACACAACATGTACACACACGCACACACACAGAAAGAGAGAAAATTAAAGATGAAAGTAGAAGGGGAGGAATTTGTTGGGAAGAAGAAAAGTTGAGTGGGAGAGGGAGGGGGATATGATAATGGGAATATGATTAAAGACATATGTATGGATGAAATTTAGGAAGAATAAATAAAATTCAGAAAAAAGTAAAAAACCTATTTGTTACTCACTTTGGGGAAAAAGGAATGGTGTATGTAGTTATTTAGCCCAAGGAAAATCTGAGTTGCTGGGTAAGTACACTAACTTAGTGCTTTTAGAATTTTCAGAGCTTTGCAGTTGCCCTTGTGAATTGTTGCATTTTGAAAGGTGTTTGTTATTTTTACACTACATTATCCATTGATTCATTCAGCAAACATTTGTTGATGATCTACAATAATTCCATGCCCATTTCTAGGCACCAGGTATCAAAGAACAATAACAAAAATGGTGCATTTCCTACTCTTGGAATCTAAATTCTGTAAAGCAGGATCTGGGGAGTTCTTGCTTTTTCATATGAGTTAAAGGAGACCTTTGAAGGTTGAACATGAATGGAAACCTGAAGAAGGAAGAGACTGGGTCATACGCATACCTTAGAGAAGAGCACTTAGGGCTCATGGAATAGCAGGACAAGGCTGCAGGGTTTAGAAATGCCTCATTAGTTGAAAAAGAACATGGCTGGGGCAAAGTATATGGAAGACAACATGGTGAGGGATGAAATTGAGAAATACCATGTGGGACTTTTAGGAAAGTCATATAAAGGTTTTGAGTGGGTCAGTTAGTGTCATGAATTAAGTAACACCAACAAGAAATCCTCCAGCTGTGCACAGGGGAAAGCAGAGGGAGAGACATAAAGACAGTTTGTGGAGGTCACAGTGAGATCTCACAGTGATTTTGGATCTATATAGTTTAGTAATAGTTTTAAGAAGTAGTTTGGATTCGGGATATATTTGGAAATTAGAAAGAACTAGGTTTCCTAGTAGATTAATGGCAAGGCATAACTGTAAAGTGAGGCATCAAAATGCATGGTCTGTGCATTTGCTTGAAATTGCCATTTCCTAAGACGAGGCTTTGGTGGCAAGAACACATAAACACTGGAGGTAAGGAAAATCAAGAATGTTGGATTTCTTCTGCACTTCACTGCATATGGCATCCAGTGGAGGTGTAGAACAGATAGGTGTTCATATCTGGCAGTGAGGAGATGTACAGGTTAGAAAGAGGCTTTTGGGATTCTAAACATGTAGAGAATATCAAAAGCTTATGGTTGTGTTAAGAAATAATGTGGACAGGGGAGTTAAGGGATATTTGTAAGCTGAGGAGATGAAAAGGAGTAAAAAAGTCAAACAAAACTACCCGAGATTGGAAGAAGGAAGTGGTTTTCTTTCTTTTTTTTTTTTTTTTTTGGTTTTTTCGAGACAGGGTTTCTCTGTGTAGCTTTGCGCCTTTCCTGGAGCTCACTTGGTAGCCCAGGCTGGCCTCGAACTCACAGAGATCCGCCTGCCTCTGCCTCCCGAGTGCTGGGATTAAAGGCGTGCGCCACCACGCCCGGCGGAAGTGGTTTTCAAAGAAGACACCATTGTTAACCCTTTCATATGTTACTGATGGGTCTTGCATCAACCATTTAGCAAGGTGAAAAATGTTTATGAGTGTTAGGATGGAAAAATTGCTGTGTATTCAAACAAAATATAAGCATCTGCTTTAGAAAAGTTTGTAGTAAAGTATCATAGAGAATTTGATCTCAAAATAGATTTTCTTATTGTAGCTCAGGCTGATAAACTGCTGCCTCAGCCTCCTGAGAGTTGGGATTATAGCCATGTGCCACCAAGCCCAGCTGAAAACAAAGAATTTGATGAAGTCAATAATATAAGGAGTATAGGAGCAATGCCTTGAATAAAAGGGAGCAATCTGTACTACTCACAAAAGTAGTAGAAAGCTCATTTGCAATAAGAGTATGGGAGTTCAGATGATAGTGGTGAGCAGAGTGGGTAGACTGCACAGAAGCTCTCCTGGTTGTTGTTTCCTGTGTGCAATAAGTTGTAAGTGTTTGAGGACAAAGGCGCACTGGGGAACAGTCATCTGAGACAGGGGAACCGAATATAGGAAGGAAGAATGCTTCCTCTGAGGTTGCTGGGCACAGCCAGCTAGCTTGGTATATGGACTTCTAACATGTTCTAACAAGGTATAGATGGAGTCAATTTTAAGTTGGTTTTTATCTAGACTTGGGATTTTGTTTGAAATACAGTGGGCAGAGTTTGAAGTTATGTAAAAGGATAATTTCAATGACTTTGTGATTAAATGTAAACTGAATATGGGGCTGAGGGCCAATATAATTGTTTCAGTGAGTAGTTTTAGATATCCATAGGATCAAAAATCACTGGTTTTTCTTCCTATTTTCCTATGTATATATGCTATGCACATCATGCCTATCCTGTACATAGGCATGAAGACATGGGGGTCCTGTAGATAGGAAAGAAATGGAAAGAAGTGCATGGGGTTTTCATTTCTTCATCTAATTAAGCTAATTATTAAAAATATACTAAAAAATAGGGGAAGTTGATAATAAAGTACCATATCATCTTATATATAGTTGTGATTGTACGTTATATGTTTGATCTGTGAATAAAATTTTCATTTTCATTTGTTTTCTATGCTTTGCATTTTCATATTTTAATTTTCATAATTTATACCATTGAGTAATGCTTTTTAATATGTAAAGTTTCATGATTTCTATTTTATCACTGTGCTGTAAAGATTATTTTGCAAGTTTAAATAAAATGTCTTGTTTTTCTTAACAGGCACTATTCCATGGAAAGTTTATTGATACTGGTTTCTCCTTACCATTCTACAAGCGTATGCTAAGTAAAAAACTTACTATTAAGGATTTGGAATCTATTGACACTGAATTTTATAACTCCCTTATCTGGATAAGGTTTGAAGATTTCTTTTTCGTTGAGGTATTTACTTAAAACCCATTTGTATACTTTGTTTGTGTGCACACTCACATGCTATTTTTTTTATCCAGAGACAACAACATTGAAGAATGTGGCTTAGAAATGTATTTTTCTGTTGACATGGAGATTCTAGGGAAAGTTACTTCACATGATCTGAAATTGGGAGGTTCCAATATCCTAGTGACTGAAGAAAACAAAGATGAATATATTGGGTAGGTTGATAGATCTAATTGAACTCAGTCTATAGAATTTATAAAATCTAATTATAAATCTCCAGTATATACACCCTTAATTTTATTAGTTTTTACCCTTTGGAAAACTCTTATCAGATTCTTGCTCTGCTAGGGCCTGATCCTTGTGCTCTAAAGCCGATCCACATCTCCCATCCCAAATTTCTTGAAATAAAAGAAATGTGTGTCATCCTCCCCTTTCCCATTGCATTTGCAACAGGAATTTCCCTTCTGCCCAGGTCAGAAGACATGAGAACATTGGTGCTGAAAAGGGACTTTGCAATCTTCAAAATCTCAAAAAGAAAAAAATTATATATTCTCCCTCATATGTGGATCCTAGCTGGTTTTGTGTGTTTGTGTGTGTGTTCGTGTGAAGTGTACATTCAGGCACAGTGTAACGTGGAGAAAGGAGAGCAGCAAAGGGTGGATGTTAGGTGATGATAAGGAAAGACTGAATGTAGGTTATTGACACTTGATTCATGAAGGAGGATATAAACCTTATTGTTTTTCTAGTTCTAAGTCTGTTGAGGCTGTTTCATTTTTTGATGATGGATAAATGCATACAAATAAGTTCAATAGTGAAAACATAAAATCCAGTGAAAGTTAATTGAGATGTATATACTTGAGGTCTGGATAATTTTGGTGTGTGGACTTTTTAAAATTTCTAAGTTCTTTATAATAAAATTTGAATTGAAAAAAAGTGTCTTTGCAAAAACTGTGTAGCCTGTTTGTTTCTAGGTGAAGGGACTGAGGCTACACTAGGAGTGGGCAAAATCACATCTGGAAACTGTCCTTTCACGGTCAGTCATTCCGTGCTGCATTCCCACCCTGAAAATTCTACCATTCTTTAAACTGGTACATAATAAATGTTTCATTGGCCTATATTCAGTGTGAGTGGTGCTGGGTTTTATAAAGAAGTTTCAAGTTATCCTGAACTTTGACTATATTCAGTGTTCCATTTCCTCCTCTTGGCCTCACTGCCTTCTACTATTCTCCTTCTTTCCCTAGTCCCTTTTATGTTTTCATGTCACACATGACAGCTAGAAAATTGGCTCAGCAGTTAAGAGCACTTGCTGCTCTTGTAGAAGACCCAGGTTGGTTCCCAGCACCCACATGGTAGTTCACAACCATATGTCACTCCAGTTCCAGGAGATCTGACTTGCAGGTACCAGGTATTCACATGGTGCACATACATATATGCAGGCAAAATACCCATATACATAAAAGAAAAAATACATGTTTGAAGAAAAATTATGGACTTATATATCTTTATAAAATCTGGGATTCACAAGTAAAAGCATGAAATACTTGTTTTTCTAAATCTAGTTTATTTCACTTAATATAATCATCTCTAATTTTATCTATTGTCGTCAGATTGAGTTTATATATAATTACATCATTTCCCTCTTGCCTTCCCTTACTTCAAACCCTCTCCCATGTATCTCTGCTTTCAAATTCATAGCCCCCTTTTTTCACTAATGTTTTATGTGTATATGTTTATACATATATATTCCTAAATATAATCTATTCAGTCTATAACGTTAGTTATATGGGTATTTTCAGGGCTGTTTGGTTTTTAGATAAGTATGCTTTTTCTTGAGAATAGTTCTATTTTTTGTTTTTACTAATTATCATAGTAGCAAGGCAGATGGCACTCTCATCAGCAGTATGTAAGAACTCTCTTTTCTCTGCTCCCTGGCTAGCATTTGTTGTTTTTTCTGTGGCAGCTACTCTGGGGTCAGATGGTCTCTGTGTAGTTTTAATTTGCATTCTGTGATGACTTGTGATATTGAACATTCTTATGGTTTTTTGGCTATTTGTATGTCATCTTTCAAGAACTACCCATTCATTAGACAAAAGTCAAGTGGCTTTGTAATTCTAGGGCCTGTAATTTGTTGAATTGATCCACATGTCTGTTTTATTTTTCTGACTGTGGTTCTATTTAAATTGTCCTTTTTGTTATAGACTGCCAGGCTGTCTAGGGTATTTTGTATTTCCCTACAAATTTTAGGGTGTTTTTCTAAGTTTTTTTTTTTTTTTTTCAGAATGTCATTGGAATGTTGACGAGGTTTCCACTCTGTATCTTGCTTTTGATAATGTAGCTATTTCCATGCTCCTAATTCAGCTGTTCCATGAATATGGGTGGCTTCTATCTTCTGTCTTCTTCAGATTCCTTCTGTAGTGTTTTAATATTTTCACTACAGAGGTTTTCACTTTCTGGATTAGATTTATTCCTAAGATTTATGTTCTGTCTATCATGAATGTGATTATTTTCCTAATTTCTTTCTCATTACTGGCATGTTCATTACTGGTATGTAGAAACACTGTTAAATGATTTCTATAAAAATTATTAATAACTGATTTATATATGTGTCTTGATTTTGTACTATTACTTTGCTGAACGTGTTTGTTAGTTCTAAGAGTTTTCTCACGTGGAGTCTTCAGCATTTGTCATATACAGAATCATATTGCCTGCCAGTGGAAATAATATGACTTGCTCCTGCTTGTGCCTTTGTTTCTTCCTTTCCTTATTACCTTGGCAAAGACTCAAGTGGTATACTAAGTATAAGTAAGCACCTTGTCTTGGCCCTGCTCAGAAACGCATTGAGGTTCTTCTGCATTTCCTGCAATGGCTATAGATTTGTCAGATACAGCCTTCACAATGTTGGTGCATGCTTCTAGATTCTTCGGGGCTTTTGTTGAAGGATTGTACATCGTCAAAGGCCTTTTCTACATCTTCTGAAATCCCATGTGATTTCTAGCCTATAATCTCAGAGTCTCAGTCCCTTTCTCATGTGTGTGTGTTTGTGTATCTTTCAGTTTGTCTATCCTTGTGAAGTTTTGGTATCAGGTGATAACTGTCTTTGTAAAATGACTGATGGACTTCTATTTTATGGACTACTTTGAGGAACACTGATGTTAGTTCTATAAGTGTGAATCCATATAGGCCTCAGCCATTTTACTTAGAAGATACTTTATTACACTTTCGATCTCACTGCTTTTTCTAGATCTATTTAAGTTGTTTATGTACTTTTATATAATTGTGGTAGATCATATGTGTCAGGAAATATATTATTTCTTCTGTATTTTCCATTTATTGGAATATGGAAGAGATATATGGGAGATTTTGGAGGGGTGAAAAGGAAGGGAGAAATGTTATAATTAAATTATAATCTCAAAAAAATGAAAATAAAAAAGGTAGAATGAATTTGTTAATGGAAAAGCATGTTAACCCTAAAATCACATATATGCATTCATATATGCTTATTGTGTGCATACATTTGGGAAGTATATTTTGAAAAAGAGAAGGAATTTAAGGCTTTTTTAGTGTTTTTTTCCTTTAGCTTCATATATAAATGACCTATTTTCAAATACTGTCTTTATTTTCAGTTTAATGACAGAATGGCGCTTTTCTCGAGGAGTACAAGAACAGACCAAAGCTTTCCTTGATGGGTTTAATGAAGTTGTTCCCCTTCAGTGGCTACAGTACTTTGATGAAAAAGAATTGGAGGTTAGGCTCTTTATTATTTGATAGCAGGGAATGCTGATGTGGGAATGGCTGGATTTTGTGTTCCCCCCCCCCCCACCTCACCTCTCCTCTCTATGGTCAGTGTTGTTTGTTTAAGACAGGGTCTGCTTCTGCTCAGACTGGCCTTAAAATCCTGATCCTCCTGCTTCAGCCTCTGTAGTCTTCATGTGCCAGTGCTGATCCCCCATGTTTGGCTTCTTTTATGCTTGTACACAAGGTTCACACATTTGTGTATAATACTGAATTTTCTCATTTCTCTAAATGTATCTGGCATTGAATGTGTCTTATGTTTCGTGATGTTTTAAGAACAATGGTGTTGCCAGGCGGCATTGGCACTCAGGAGGCAGAGCCAGACAAATCTCTGAGTTCAAGACCAGCTTAGTCTACAGAGCGAGATCCAGGACAGACACCAAAACTACACAGAGAAACTCGGTCTGGAAAAACCAAAAACAAGAACAACAAAAAAATCAATGGTGTCACCTGTTAAGGGTCATAAAACAGGATTTGATCACTATTAATAATTTAGAGCAGTTTCAGGAATCTTCATTTAGTAGTGACTTAACCTGAACAATGAGATTTTTAAATGACTTCTTAGTGGTCCTGACTGCATGTAAGTAAGAATGGGAATGCATCAGAAGTGGTTTTGTTTATGTAGGGTAAAATACATGTAAATCTTACCACTTCAATGATTTTTAAGTATGCAGTTCAATAATATTAAGTATGACTGCATCATTATACATCATGTCAAGTCTTCGGAATTCTTCCGTCTTATAAAATTGGAACTCTACACACATTCAGCACAAAGCCTCGTGTCCCCCTATTTTATTTTTTATTATTCTGACTGTTTAAATCTCCTATAAATGAAATCATGTCATCTTTGTGTTTTTATGACTGTTTATGTCACTACCATAATGTCCTCAATGTAGCATATTTCAAATGTATACATTTTGATTTATGGCATCTAAGCAAATCTAGAAACAGAGCATAACATGCATTGTCAAATATTTTCAGTGGGAAAAGGGAAACCCCTTTCAATAAATAATGTTGAAGCAATTGGATATCCATGTGAAAGAAAGTTAACTTTGGCCACTACCTCAGCCCAGAAACAAAGATGAATTTTAAATGAATATTAAGTGTAAACATGAAAACCTAAAATAAAACAAGAGAGTAGTAGCCTAAATGAAATCCCACTTTGGATAATGTTGGTAATTTCTCAGGTTATAATGTTAAATGTATGTCTTCCTCTTGCCCTAGCAAATCTTCCATTAGGTACTTACCTATGAAAATGAAATGTGTGTTTATACAAACACCTGCAGGTAAATATAAATATTCATAATATAGGTAGAAGTTGTTTACAGAGATTTTTTTTAACACTGTAAAGAAAACAGCCTGACTTCATCAAAAGTAAAAATTCTGTGCCTTAAAAGACACTATTAAGGAATTAGAAAGGCTAGGCTTGGTACAGATACCGATAGTCCCAGCACTGAGAGGATTGGTTGAGGATTGCCAATAGTTTTAGGTCCGTAGGCTAGCTGGGTATATGTGGTGAGTTCCACCACGCCCTACTTTCCAACAGGACTACAGAGTGAGACCCTGCCTCAGGAAGGAGGGAAAAGAAAACACCAACACACTGGCAGAAACTACCAGGACAAACTATTCTACACAAAATATATTTTCAGAAACTCCTATAAATAATACAAAGACAAACAAACAAACAACCTCCCCTGCCCCCCCCCCCCCCAGTCTTTGTTGTGGCTGATAGCGTGCTTCTTCCCCAGGTTATGCTGTGTGGTATGCAGGAGGTTGACTTGGCAGACTGGCAGAGAAACACTGTTTACCGACATTATACAAGAAACAGCAAGCAAATTATTTGGTTTTGGCAGGTATTTGCTTTATCTTTTTTGAGACAAATCATTTGAAGAAAAAGTTTTCTCATAAAATGTGGTCTTAAAGTAGTTTTTATTTTTGAGAGTGCTTTTGGACCTGTGTTTGAGCCTTCCAACTCTTTCACTATTTTTTAAATGGAGATAAGATTAGTCTTTAGTGGTATCACAACTATTCTATGATTTCTGCATGTTTCTAGAAGAGGGTGTGTTGGGTTTTGTCTGGCTGGTTTGAATTTGTTGGGCTGTCCATTGAGATAGGGTCTTCCTGATAACCCAGGCTGGTCATGAATTTGCTTTCCTCTTGCATCAGCTCATTCAGTGCTGCCAGGTGTATGCTTTTAATGATACTGTTAATGTGGGTATTTAATTCTTCTGAAAGTGATAATCTGCTAAAGAATTGGAATAATTCAGATAGTAATACACAAGAATGACTATTTTTTCCTACTATGTTTTGGCTTAAACTGTGATCAGGTAGGTCGCAGAACATCCAAGTGCACCATTCTAATATTTAAGCACTTTTTTTTTTTCAAAGACAGGGTTTCTCTGTGTAGCCCTGGCTGTCCTGAAACTCAATCTGTAGATTAGGCTGGCCTTGAATTCACAGAGACCTGCCTGCTTCTGCCTCTTGAGTGCTGGGATTAAAGGTGTGAGCCACCACTACCTAGCTATTTAAGTACATTTTTTGAGAGACATTTTGTTTTGCTTTGTTTTATATGTTGAAGATTTTAAATTTCTAATCCTGGGATATTCTTTCTAAAACTGTTTTACTAATTATAACTCAACTGAGCAACTTAAAGATTGGACTTCTGGCAATTTTCACACTCAGGTGAAAAGCTGGGTATTATAGTATTATGAGGAGATTTTCCAAAAGGTACTTGTTTTTATAGGAATGAATCTTATTAGTTCATTATATTTTAATGTATAGACCCTTCTGGGAACCTGTCTTAAATATTCATCAATATGTACAAAATGGCATACACCAAAGTGCTTAATGCAATAATTGTATGTTAACAGAACTCAAATGTCTACCAGGAGAGGATTGAATGAACTGTAACATTTATTTTCTGTATGTATGTACTATAGGATATGAATATACCATCTCTGAAAAAGGTAGGAAGGGAGGGGAAGAGCAGCTTAGTAGTTGGAGGCCAAGCTGAGAAAGCATTTAAAAAATACTAGTGTCTGTTTCTCCTGTTTACACAGGAGTGTAAGTCTGCTTTCAAGATGAAATACAGAAATGCAGACTAGACAGTGTGCACAGGTGTTCCTTTGCACCCTTTCCTGTCTCCTTACACTTTAAAGACCTTACATTTGGACATGTGTCTAAATAACCTAGGAACTTGAAGTCATAGAAACCCAATGAGTATTTGTATTTCTGAACTGTTTGATTTAGGTAAAATGGTGAGGTTTATGTCAGAGCTGGTAATAAAGTGTGTTTCCCATGTCTTGATGGTATTGTGGCATTTGAACCCAGTAGGAAAAACCAGAGACAGACTCAATTCAAATTTAGATTAAATGAGTTTATTCTTATTGCTAGCAGAAGGATGGCAGTGTTAGAACCAAACAGTATGCCATGCAGAAGGGGCGGGGTTAATGTGTGGTTTTAAGGCAAATATCAGAAAGGCATGTATCACAACTATCCAGGGAATCCACAGCTGGGCAGGAAAATTGTTTTACTTCCCCAGTTGTTTACTTTCCTCCATATAGTAATAAAAAGACCATTTCATCCCCTTTCCCATAGCAACAAGCAGGTTTTACAGAAAAAAAGGCAGCTGTTAATACCTCACAGCCCATGACTATTCTTACCACACCTGCAGGCCACTAGGATCTCCCAGGTGTCCCAGAGCAAAAGGTCAGCAGCCTTTCAGAGATGCCTGGCTCCATATTACATTTCTTTAGTCATCACAGTGGACTTGTGTAAATTATTACTGAGGTCTGAGCACTCTAATAACTGAGATAGAGCAGTTCATTTCTGGACAGGCAGAAAACACAGTGCCATCAGTTTAGAGCTGGCTTTCACATCCTCACAATGGACTGTGTGCCTCAGCACAGTTCTATGCAAAGTTTTTGATCTGGATTAGCAAAGCTTCTTTTGTTTAACTAAATTGTTACATTAGCTACTTTCTCCTTACTATGACCAGATTCTTGACAAATTCTTGGCCCACCGTTTTAAGAGTACCAGCCATCACAGCAAAGCATGATGTTAAGAGCAGCTACAGCAGTGACCTTGGGAGCATGTTCATAGGTATGCAGATCAGGAAGTAGAGATGGCCTGCTCCCATTTCTTTTTATTCAGTCTGGGACCTAGCCCTTGGCATAATGCCTCCCACATTTAGGGGAGAGTCTTTATTCTTCACTTAATCCTGTCTGGAACACCTCAGAGACACACCCAAAGCTTGTGCCTCTCTAAGGCTTTAGGCTTTTAATTAATCCAGTCAAGTCCATAATGAAAATTAGCCACTACCTGTGTATTTCCTATTTGAAAGAAGCCTTTTTGTTCTCAAACTGCCCTCTTAAGTTGCTGACTTTGTTATATTCAAACCAACCCATTTATTATTTGCCATTCATATTCCTCTTCCAAAAGAAGTTAACTTGTCAGCAAATGTCTATTTTGGAGACATCTTTAGTGTTTCAGATACTAGTGAAGGGCATAGAAAGTTTGTAAAATGCTTAATAGCAGAAAATACCACAGAGAAAAGCAGTGGGGAAGTGTTCATTTGTTTTTGTAGCTTAAAAGGAAGTAGTTGACATAGCTTACCAGTAGTTTAGGGCTCAATGAGACCAGAGTTCAAATGTTCTACTTTTTAGCAGATTGAAGAGACAAATTACTTAAACTATAGGCCTCCCTTTTCTTCCGTGTATGGTGAGATTACTAATGACTGCACTGCCTCATAGATTGTTGTGATGTCTAAGTAAATGAGAAACACATGTCACAGTGCTTAACACCAGCTCTCAGGAAGAGAGACAACTGTACCTCTTAGAGACATTACTGTAGGCAAGTGACTTAAGATTTTGAATCTTCTTGTTTATTTCCCTTTTGTATGAATGCTGTAATAGTGGCTGGTTGTAGTGTTATTGTGAGGGTTAATTGATGTGAGATCTACAGTGCACCTAAGTGGTAGTATTACACTTTTATTGCATTTCTTGAACCAGTGTCAGTGTTCATTTTTTTTTTTTACATTTTTACCTATTTACTGTTCATTATTGATGGGATGTTGACCCTTATTTTATATTAAAGTACATTTGATTTTGTCATACAGTTTGTGAAAGAGACTGATAATGAAGTAAGAATGCGACTCTTGCAGTTTGTCACTGGAACCTGCCGATTACCTCTAGGAGGATTTGCTGAGCTGATGGGTAAATGCAGATTCACTATAATTTTGTTAGTTTTGTGTAATAGCTATTATACAGTAGACTTAAATGTAATGACTATTTTTGGGGGCTATATGTAAGGTTTCTACAATAGAAAAAATCATTGATACCAAAGGCATTTGTGTCTTGGTCACTGGTCTGCCCTGAAGATACACCATGACCATGGGAATTCTTACAAAGGAAAGCATTTAATTGGGGCTTGCTTACAGTTTCAGAGGTTTAGTCCATTGTCATGGCAGGGATCATGGCAGCATGTAGGCAGACATGGTGCTGGAGGAGTAGCTGAGATTTCTACATTCTAATCCACAGGTAGCAGGAAGAGAAAGACACTGGGCCTACCATGGGCTTTTAAAACCTTAAAGCCCATGCCCAGTGACACACTTCCTCCAAAAAGGCCACACCTCCTAATCCATCTCATCCCTCATGACAAAGCATTTGATTTTGTGAGCCTGTGGGGGCCATTCTCATTCAAACCACCACAATTTGTGAGATAAAATGGAAGTGTCATCAAAGAGAGCTAGCTACTGCTTTACTCCATAGGGTAATTGCTAGGAAAACAAGATTGTGTAAAATAGTTACCTTTCTCTCCAGGGATGTAATTCTTACTTCAGTATCTCTGCAGCACCAAAAAACTTCTAAGTTCAGAAGTAGACTATAATTATGAAAATTTCAGTTTCCTCTATATCATTCATATAACAATATGACATGCTTCTGTTAGTTTTAAAGCACCATCAGATAAATATTTTCTTCTCTTATGTTCCTGATTTAGGAAGTAATGGGCCTCAAAAGTTTTGTATTGAAAAAGTTGGCAAAGACACCTGGTTACCAAGAAGCCATACATGGTAAGTTTAAGAATCCTAAACAGGAGGGTGAGGGCCAGAGAGGTTTTTGTTTATTTGTTTGTTACCAGGTAAGAGCCATAATAGCTACTTCTTTATTACGTAGTGTTCTGTAACTAAGTGCTCTAAAATGAGTTTGTATAGCTTTAATAGAAATACACGAGATGTGTCCATTGGTTTAATGAATATTTAGAGTACCCGTTATATAGCAAGTAGGATGGAATTACTCTTTGCATTTTTATGAGTCTTTGTAGGACAGAAAAGATAACAAATAGCTAAAAGGAGAAAGGGATACTGTAGCAATTGGGAGTGTGTGAGTTGCTTAAGATGTGATGGTGAGCCAAATTCCTTGGAAAGGGTAATATTTAACTTAAGTGTAGTAAATAGCATGCTATGGGGGAAAGTAGAATATTCTTAGAATAAATACTGAAGAAAGCAAAACCCCTGAATCAAGAACTGAAATTTGACTGAAGTGACTGGAACATAGTAAGTCAGAAAAGGTGAACATAATTGACTGACCTGACTGGAACTTAGTGAGTCAGAAAATATGAACATAATTGGAAATACATGATTTAGCCCATATTATTATTATAATTTGGACTTCCTTATAAGGAAATTTAAAGGCTTAAAGAATTATAACAAATGATGAGATTTAAGAGAAAACCTTTAGTGTAGGCATAACAAAAGTGAGTGAAAGAGAATGCAGAGGAATGTTACATTGTCCGCACCACAAATGATAAGTAGTTCTTTCAGGAGCTCAAAGCTGTTTTCATCCTAAGCCATGATTTGGCTTTTTGTTGCCTTGGTGTTTCTACATGTGCAGAAACAACAGTGTTAAAAACTTGTTGTGCCTTAGGACAAATAAAAGCAGGAATGCCAAGCTGTTCTTTGATACTTTTCAAGAACATGTACTTGTCAAAATAAGTAAAGCCAGTGCTTTATGAAGCACTAAGTATTGTTTATTAAATCTTGATGTTTGAATATATGCCTTTTCTAACATTAATACTCAAGTTTATTAACATGTATTTGTTGTATATAGTGATAAGTTTAGTACAGATATCTTCATGTAAATATATTATTTATTTGGCTAAGTTCAACTTCTTTTCCTCCTTTATCCCACCCCCCACAATTTCCATTCATTCTCCCATAGTCTTGCTTCTACCTTTATGTCCCATATACATGAATTATAATGTAGGATATGTAAATGGAAAAGAATATATGATATTTGTCTTTCTAAGTCTTACTTTGCTTAATATGATTATCTGTTTGAATATTTTCTTGCGGGTGACATAATTTTATTCTTTGTGGCAGAATAAAACTATTAGTCGATATATGCATCTCATTTTCTTTGTCCATTCATCTGTTTCAAGACCTGTAGGCTGATAGCATAGCTTGCCTTTGTGAATATTTTTGAAACAGACTGTAAGAATCACTGTGGCATGTTGATTTAGAGTCCTTTAGGTACATACCTAGGGATGGCATAACTGTGTCATCGTGTGGAAGTTCTACTTCGAGTTCTAGAACTCTCCACACTGACTTCCAAAGCAGATAGATTGCCTACATTTTCACCAGCAGTACATAGGGTTCTGTCTTCCTCACATCCTCATTAGCATGTGTTCTTTTTTTTTTTTTTTTTTTTTATGATAGCCATCTGACTGGGATGATGTGGAATCTCAATGTAGTTTCGATTTGTATTTCCCTGATGACTAAGGACGATGTACATTTCTTTTTCATATTAATTGGCCATTTCTTTGTTTTGAGAACTGCCTGTTCATTTCATTAGTCTATTTGATTGGTTTGCTTGGCTTTTGGTATTTAGTATTTTTAGTTCTTAATATAGATATTAGTCCTCTTGTCACTAGTCCTTCATCAAATGTATCTATAGCTGGCACATATATTCTTGCCCTGCTTTCTAGGCTGTCTGCTCACTCATTTGTTCCTTTTGCAGTGCTGAAGTTTTGTAATTTCATGCAAATCTGTTTATCAGTTCTTGGTTTCATTTCCTGATATAGGACTCCTTTTCAGAAAATCTATATTTGTTGTATTTTTCCTAGGTTTTCTTCTAGCTGTTTCAAGTATTACATAATGATATTTGATACATCTTAAATTGATTGTAGGTAAAGGATGAGAAATAGGGATCTAGTTTTATATTTTTACACATGGACACCCATTTTTTAGCACTAGTTGTTGAAGAAGGTATCTTTTTTCCAGTGTGTATTTTTGATATCTTTGTCAAAGGTCAAAAGGCTTTATTTTATTGCACTGATCTGTCTGTTTTGTTTCTTTGGCTTTCTCGTATAACTTCAAATTGGGTAAGGTAATATCTCCAGCATTGTTCTATTTGCTCAGTATTGCTTTGCTCTTTGGCATCTTTTGAAACATAGACTGTAAGAATCCCTGTGGCATGTTATTTAGAGTCTTTTAGGTACAAACCTATGGGATGGCATAACTGTTTTCATATGAATTTTAAGACTTAGTTTTCTATGTCTGTGTAGAATGTCATTGGAGATTGCATTGAATCTGTAGATTTCTTTCAGTAATATAGTCATATCAATCCTACTAATCCATGAGTGTAAGTGTTCTTTCCCTCTTTTGGTCTCTTCTTCTGTTTTTATCTTGAGTGGTTTTAATAATTTCAAGGTAGAGGTCTTTCACTTTTATGGCTAACTTTATTCATTAGTGGGTTTTTGTTTTGTTTCAAAACTATTGTGAATAGAACTGCTTGCTTAAGTTCATTCTTGCCAAGTTTATTATAGGGGTATAAGAAAGCTACCAATTTTTATATGTCGACTTTGTGTCTTGCTACTTTCAAAGTGTTTATTAGTTCTAAAAATCTGGTGGAGTTTATAGTCTCTGACATATAGAATTATACTGTGCAAATAAAGGTACATTGACTTCTTCCTTTCCTATTTGTTTCCATCTGTTATTGCTCTAGTTAAGACTAAAAGAACTCTATGAAATAAGAGTAGAGAAATTAGACATTCTTTCTTTTCCTGGGTTAGTGAAAATGCTTTGATTTTTGTTTATTTTCCTGCTTACTATAATGTTGCTTATAGGTGTCATATATGCCCCTTTTGCTATAACTCTTAGATTCTTCAGGGCTTTTATCTCGAGGGGTTGTTCTCTTATCAAAGGCCTTTTCTACATCTGTGGATATGATAAGGTGATTTCTGATCTTTGTGTAATACTCTGAGGTATTTTGTATATTTTGTACTGTTCTTGAATTTCTGAAATGAAACTCAGTTATGGCGAATATTTTTTCTTTCCATTTTATGTGCATGAGTGTTTTGCCTGTATGCATGTCTGTACTCCATGTCTGTGCCACTGGAGGTCAGGCTTTGGATCCCTAGGAACTGGAGTTACAGTTGGTTGTGAGCCACTGTGTGGGTGCTAGGACATGAATCTGGGTCCTCTAGAAGACTCAACAGTGCTCTTTACTGTTGAGCCATCTCTCCAGCCTCATGAATGATCTTTTTGGTGTGCTCTTGAATTTGATTCACCAGTATTTTCTCAAAAACCATTACGTCAGTGTTTATCAGGGATAATCGCCTATAATTTTCTCTTTTGCCTATCTACTTTGGGTACTAGGGTAATACTAACCTCATAAAATGAATGTGGTAAATGCCTTCCTTTTCTATCTTATGCAATGTTTTGAAGAGTGCTAATGTTACCTTTGTTTAAAAGGCTGGTGGCATTTATTAGTGAATCCATTTAAAACTTTTTTTAAACTTGAGCAACATTGGTTACTCTTTTAATCTACTAAAAGTTGTTTATATCCTCTTGGTATAATTTTGGTTTGGTGGTAAAAGAGTATTGGCTTAACGGGATTGTGTTTTCATTGAAATAAACTTGAAAGACATGATTAAGAAAACACTATTAAGAAAGAAATGTTCTTCATTGGTGGTGATACTTATAAAGATAAGATCCTGTGGTCAGTAACTGAAGAAAATAGAGCAACAGATCACTCAAGAGTGAGAAGGGAAAGGAAGTGGGAGGCCATGACATTGTTTTCATCTATATGTAAATACTATGAAGTAAGTCTTCTAAACCAAAGCCTTAAATGAATAAAATACAACCAAGAACACGTAGTAAGAAATTCAGAAAGATCACGTAGCAGATGAACTGGGTGTGCATCAGAAAAGGAACTCTTTTACTGATTGGCTTCAGAGGAAATGACATTTTTCACCTTGTTGGATTTCACTTATGATAAGAGATGAAGAGTTAAGACTATAAGAGACTAAAAGCCATGAATCAGAAGCTCAGACCAGACCCAAAGAAATTTGAGATAGGATTGGGATTTAATTCAAACAAGGGAAAATACAAATGAGTATTCTGATGAGCATTTGGATAAAAAAATAGGTGATCAGAAAGATTTTGATTTATAACAACAATGACTAAGGTAAATGGTGATCTCATCAGTAATATAGTTAGCCTTAATGACTCTCAGTAAGATGGGGCTTTATTAATTATGGGGTCCTACTAGTGTCATCTTCAGAGTGAGGTAGCAGCTTTGGTTTCCTAGTTACAGAGTCAATAAATTTAATTTTTCAGGTTACATGGAAAATACATGGGCAAGTCTCTTCCCTTTTTACAGATTAGTAGAAGTAGCAAATTTGATTTTGTCTATTTTGAGTACCTCAGGCTCAAAGCCAGACCTAAAAACCAGTACTTTGATATTTACATAGTCAATGCCCAATTAAAAAAAATGAGCGTATTTTATTAATATGTCTCTGTCCTTTATGAAGCAGCACAAACATAATGGCCACTTTCTTGAAACAGATCTCTTTGGAGTACTTTCAAATAATCCATTGTTGTCTGTTATTCAGCTTAACATTTCCTAAATTAAGTATTTACTAATAATTCAGAGATGACTCTGCACTTAATCTAATGGGGGAAAACTATCAGTCATGATAAGAATGCTAAAATCGAAATAAAGAGCGATGTAAGATGCTGTAGATAAACTTCTTAGAATCTCTAGCATTTAGGATGATTGTTGGTGAACAGATGAGACTTTCCCTTGCAAGGGTATTCTAGACTAAAGGATTTGACTGTAGAAAAAAGTGTGTATTATGTTAAAAAGCATAAAATAAGTTGATACTAGGCTTCCATCAGTCATTCTACATCTTCTGCAGCTTTAGCAGTAAAGGGTTTCTAAGACTGGTCTAAGCTAGTATGTCTTTTTTGCAAAGTGACTCAGGCAGTGACGTAAAGCAACATAGGGGGTGAAGAAAGGAAGTGGATGGAAAGTGAGCAGAGCAACAAATTCTTAATGGTCCAGATGAGACAGAGAAGGTATAGTGACAACAAAAATGATCAGGAGGAAAAAATAGGATTTAGTAGAATGACAGAATTTGGCAAAGGGTGTGTGAAGGACTGTTTTGGTATAGGAGTATATTGAAAAAAAGTTTTTTGTTGTTGTTTTCCTAACCTCAGTTACCATTAACAGTCTTTCTTTCTTGGAGCCTAGTTTAAAATGAAAGGAAATCATATAAAGTCTAAATTGCTACCATCAATATATTTGTTTTTTAGTATGAAGAAACTAGTATGTTAATGATGGTTTACATAACTGCTGAAATTAGCTGCATTTTCCTCAAGACTCTTAGTTATCAGCTTTCCTAACTTGCATAGTTGGGAGCAAAAAGAAATTAGAAGTGTCTACAAAAAAATGAAGGTACAGCAAGGTTTTGACTCTTTCCTGGGTGTTCACTAAGCTGCCAAAACCATGGACACTTGAGTCTATTGAAATTAGTCCTATCATATTTTAGAAATTGAATATTACTATTTTTTTAGTTTAGTATTTTTCTTTTCATCATTCAGCCTCAAAAAAATTCATCAGCTTTTTTCTGAGAAAAAATGGAAAATGGTCAGTTTGTAGATTAGAATTTAATATGGTGGGATTATTTAAGGAAACAAATATATGTATCTATTTTGACTATCTCTACTCAGAACTTAACTTCCATGAGAGAAGGAACTTAGCATTTTCATCACTGTATTACCAGCTACTGGGACATCTTGCACACAAAATTTCTCAGAAAATAGTGAAAAAAACCTAAGAAAAGTTATGTACTCATGATCTATGATACAGGAATAGCAAAAGGAAACCCAATTTTTTAATCTAGTCTTTATACATATTGATATTATTTCTAAATCCATTATTCTTCTGCAAATATGTAGATATTTTATGTCTTAAAGTTGAATAGATTCCTCTATGAAATTTAGATGTGTTAGTTAATATGCTAATTATTATATTAAAATGTTAGGATACCTTTGGCAAAATTTTTACATGCATAATATTCAAGGTTTCAATGTGCTGTTAAAGAATACTGTATTAAAAATCTCTTCAGTTTATTTTATTGAAAACGTCTGATTTTGTTTTTGTTTTTGTTCAGTTTTAATCGCTTGGATCTACCACCATATAAGAGTTATGAACAACTAAAGGAAAAACTTCTTTTTGCAATAGAAGAGACAGAGGGATTTGGACAAGAATGAATGTGGCTTCTTGTCCTGGAGGAGCTCTTGCATTTAAATACCCCAGCCAAGAAAAATTGCACAGATAGTGTATATAAGCTGTTCATTCTGTACAGTTAATTTTCTGAATCTTTCAAAGTATCAATGTTTTCCGTTCTTCCACAGAAATATGCAAAACATTTCATCATTTTCTACTTTATTTATTGTTCCCTTGAAATGACTGACCAGGAAAAAGATCATCCTTAAATTTTGAAGCAAGAGAATTTATTAAGAAGTATATATCTATATAAGCATATGACAGTGGCTCTAGTTTTATAGAGCACCAGGTGTACTAAACATGGCAGCCATTCACTCACAAAGCTCTGAATTTGCTTTGCCTTGTTTCTTTTAATCCAGAGGAAAAGTGCAAATGTTCCATGTTCTTCTCCCTAGGTGACATCTGATTGTGTTTAGTTGCATGGCTGTTCAGGAAGGTATTTAGGGCTTAGGCCAAGTCTTTAAGTGTATTTTTAAAATGCTGCTGGCTTTTCTGAAGACAAGTACTTCAATTTACCGAGTTCTAAATGAATAGATAAAAAAAAATCTCCCATCATTGTTATATCAGTAAACACAGAAGTCATGTAATAGATCCAATAGTGTCGAGGAGCAGCTGGAATTGATTTGGTGAGCAGCAGAGGTCTATTTACATGTTACTTTGGGATGCTGGATATTTGTGGAATTTCAAATTTCAGGCATTTCTGTACTTAACATTTTTAAACTTGTAATGTGCTTCAAATTTAATTAATAATAAATTGATAGTTTAATACTTAGGGATATATAAAGGTACTGAACTTTGATGCTTTTGTGCTCAAGGTTTAGTTTTATGAAATTAGAGATGTAATTAAACTAAATGGATCAAAAAGCTGCATAAGTATTTAAATATTCACAATAAGAACTTTCTATTAGTGTCTACATATCCCCCTTTAAAATTCATGAAACTTGTTTCCAAATTCAGTAGGTACATTAAAAAATCCTTTGTGCCCCCCATTTTATATAGTTCAAGTTTCTCCAAATAACACTGATTTTCATTATGAGGGCATTCATGGTGTATGAAAAAATTTAAAATCTAATGTGAACGATATTGCTACTTTTAGCAAACTGGGCTTCCTAATTAATATAAAAATATTTTCCATTTTTATCCTTCTTTCAATATGCACTTCAGAGTTCATTAACTTAAAATTTTGTAACTATGAAATTCACTTAGAATTACAACTTCTACTCACTAGTTTAGTTTTGCCAAGATTTTATTTTTCTACATATTTAGATTATGTTCAATTTTATTCAAAATTCAAAAAGAAAAAATAAAACCAGTAATTTTCATAGTTGATAAACTACAGAAAATCTGGTTATTTTCAAGCTTAAAGAATTTTTTTTAATCCTAATATAAGACAAGTAATATAGTAGAGGATGGCCAGTCTTTAAAAGTATGCATAAATTATTCTGTAAAATAATAAACTATTATGATCGAAAGTATTGGCTTTCATTCAGTGGAGGTATTTGAGACTATCATTTTGCAGATATGGTTCAAGGTGGCTTTCAGGTGGCATTTCAGGGAGCTGGTTCTTTTTGTTACCTCACACTGGTAACAGCCCATAAGACCAAACCAGTTTTCTGGTGAAGACTAGTTTGCAGACCTCATCAGGCCCATCTATCTTTCATATGCAGTTATATTTTTAATACATACAGACTTGTCTTATCTTCTCAGTAGTGAACATAAAATCAAAGAGATGTAGTTCACCTTCTGTCTTCTCTCCTTCCCATCCCTATTCTGAACTGGACCCACTATACAGTCATAACAAAATGGGAGATGAGGGAGACTTAGAGATGGGCTAATTATACATTATAATAGTGATGGTCCCAACATCACCAATAAATTGAGCCTAGGGAATGGTTCATAGGCTTAAAACAATTTTACCAGTCAACTCAGGCCAACTATCTTTGGGGAAAGAACCTACTATTTGGTTTTTTGTTTTGTCCTTGTCTTTTTTTTTTTTTTCTTTTCTGTACTTTCTAGGCAGTTGAAAATAAAAATGTAACTATTTCCTCAAGCTGATTTCACCCAGTTCTCCTGAAAACTAAATAAGGTGTTGTATATCTACTCAATTAATTGCCAGACACCCTTGCTTTTGTTTGGGGTTGCAAAGACCCTAATGAGTAAGCTGTTTCTGAACTGAGAGTGGTAATGGGGTTTCCCTGAATCTGAAAACTCTTAAAATTGTATGCCCAGAGCTGTCTCTTCAGGAGACTCTGGTTCTTGGAGAACCATGTAGATGCTCCTGCTACATTATTGCTACATGTTCGTTTTCTGGAACAAGGCCTAACCTTGCCCTGTGGCTAGTAATGTTTCCTGCACTACAGTATTCTTAGTAAACTGATGCCAAACAAACGTAGTTTATTGTAGGCTTATTGTGTCTTAACATTTAATTAAACATTAACATGATCTAGTAAACAATGAAGAAGCAAAACAAATCAGTTATTGAAACGTGAAATGAAAGTTCTCCTGTAACATGCCCTACTTCTTAATCTGTTGAACATAGAGATCAAGTTTAATGTCAACTGGGAATTTGACATAAATCTAAAAGTGCTATGTACTAAATTCTAAAAGCTCTACTCCAAAATTCAACCAAGGAGAATGCAACTAAAGTGATGATAGTATATCTGTTTAAAGCAGTAATTCTATGTTTTTCTCATGAACTATTTATTCTCTTGGTCCTTGTGGTTAACTTGGTGTTTTGTTTTCATTATGCTTTTTTAAAGATGAGACAAATCTGACAAGCTATGTTGTAGCATCCATTGCCTGTTGATGGTTCACACTGGGAGTATTTTGTTATCAAGAAGTGACAACAGATTCACTGCCGAATATGAGGGGAAAGGGGACAACCAAATAACCAAGAAGACCCCCAGCTTTTCCCTGGTGTGCTCAAAGGCCTATGCTCCCCTAGCCATTGCACTACCAATAAACAAATCCAAATTCAGCTTTTATGCAGTCCTCAAAGGTAGGAGACACAGTTAAGGAGAGGAAATCACCCATTGCTATGTCTGTAGTATGTTTAGCATAGAGAATACAACAAACTATGTGCATGGGGAAATTTACCTTCTCAAACAAAGTGAGGTCTGGATTGCACACAGAGTCAGATGGTAATTTTACAGGAAGGAGAGATAATGGCATTAAAGGGTGCATTCTCTGAGCAGTGGTCTCACCCTTGGGCCCACATCAAGAACCAAGGTGAAACCTTATGAATAAGGCTCTTGGAAGTAAAAACAAGAACTTAGAAAATACACAGAATCTCTGTGTCTTCCTGGTCATTTATCCCATGTAGGAAAATAAATATATAAAAAAATAGGTCATAACAGCTTTAAAATTTTATTTATTAGTATATATTCACTATACAAAATAATGGGTTTCACTGTGACATTTTCACACATGCTCTGACATGTCCAGCCCACCATTACCTCCTTCCTCTTCCCAAGTAATCTGCCTTCTACTTTCATGTCATTTGTTTGTTTAATTTGGATCCACATGCAGTATCCATCTGAGCTTATATAGACTTAACAAGGTCATCTTCAGTTCCACCCTTTTGGCTGCAAATGAGGTAATTTCACTTTATGACTGAATAAAACTGGTTTGTTAAGATATACATTTTCTTTGTCCACTTGATAGACATCTACACTGATTCCATAACTTGTTTGTGAACAATGCCATAATAAACATGAATGTAAAACATCTTTAGTTTTAATAGCCACAAATCAGAAAAAAATCAAATACCTTCAACAGGTGGATACAAGAGTATATCCATGTAATAAAATATTAACACTAAAAGGAAAAAATATTGATTGAACTTAGTTGTTATAAGAGGATCTGGCTAAGTGAAAAGGCACAATCTCCAAAGGTTGTATTCCAGAAGATTGCATTTGCCTAAGAGTCTTGAAATGACAAATGTATAGCAGATTAGCTGTAGGGTGTGTCAGGAATATAAGAGGGACTGGAAGTTGCTGACTATGGCTATATAGAGCACTAGATGTCTGAGTAAAACAAATCTGTATCATGTCTGTGTTGGTAGTTATAAAAATTTGTATAATGAGGTTACTAAGAACTAGACATAAAATGAGGACATCTAAAAGTTGTAAAATTTGAATTAAGGTCTACAGATCATACCAGCATGTTCTTAGTTTGTTATAAAACCATAGTTACATATCATCCAAGGGCAAACAGGAAGAAGGGTATTCAGAACCTGCTTGTACTATATTATGTAATTTCTTGTGAATCTTAATTATTTTAAAATAAAGAAGGTCTATAAAGCATCAGAAGATAGATCCTCTAATCCACAAAAGTCTTCATTACTGGAAAATACCTTGTTTCACAAAAAGAACTCTCCAGAAATAATTTTTTTGTGTGTGAGTGCTAGGGATTGATTCCAGGACCTTTGAGGTGATAACAAAAATTCACTAGAAAAGCCATTCTAAGGGATAAACCCACAGAAGCAGCTGGGATACATATCTGGTTAAAAAAAAAAAAAAAGCCCTTATTTAAGAAGTACAAGGACCTGGATATAATGTAAAAAAATTAAGTTCTTTAGCATAATATACTAATGTGAATATGAAAAGTAGCTAAACTTCACAACTAAACAATTAATAAAGATATGAAGTGGTTGCTGACAAAAGTCAGGAAGGGAAAAAAATGAAGAAAAAGATAAAACAAAACAAAAAACCCAAACCCCAGAGTGTGCAAATGAAGACAATTATCATGTTTTTAAGCAAAACAAAATGTATCAAAAATGGAAATGAAAGTAGAAAATGAAACAAGTTAATTTCAAAGTCATGAATATGAAAGCCAAAGAAGACTGAATATAATTAACTGGAGTCCAGAAGACAAGATGAAACATGGATTCTCAGAGGCTGATCTGGAATGAAGGACAGGTGATAACAACTGGATTGGCCTCTCCAAATGTCTATGTTGTAAGATGTGGGAAAAAAATTTCTGTACTAAAACCATCTGCTGCAAATCAAATTCTTGTCTCAAAAAGCAGTTTTTTTTTGGACAGTTAAGGGAATCTGAGTATGTCTTGTTATGAGATAATGTAATAGGTGTGGTGATGTATTTGTTTTGGAAGATGTAGTATTTATTCTGAAAAGCATAAGGCACAGCTGAGACACTTAAGGATATGATATCTGTAATTTCAAAGGTTTAAAAATCCATTATATATGAATAGATATACATATATAAATAGGATATAGCAAAGTATTAACACCTTAAATCCAAGTATAGGATGTATTCCAACGTTTGAAAGTTTACATGGTAAAACAGGTACAGCACACACGTACACATTTTGCTGTAATTTATTAAAACATTACAATTCTCATGTCTTTTGGAGAAAATATGCCTATACACAGTCTCACATTTGTTTAGTGTAAGTGGCATTCAAGCTTCAGGTGTTACAAAATGTTAAGTTTGCTGTGGTGGTGCCTCAGACGGAAGTGATAGCACCTTGCCTGTTAAATACATCTATTTCCTTCTCACCCTGAAGTCTGTGTCCCTCCATTCTATAAAGGATTACAATTTGTCAACTGACAAATTCAACCCATACATGAAGCTATAACACATTTTAAAAAGGAAAAGCTTCCATAATATTTTTTCTTATCTGGGCTGACTTCTATGACACATCTCTTAGGTTCTTTATGCCAGGAACCCACAACATCGTAAACACCTAACTCTTGTTTTACCTTTTCTCTAAGATAGCAACTTTCAGTCAGTTACAACATGAAAACCATTCTCTCATATGCCACCTGTTCACAAAGGCTTCTTTTAAAAACCTCTCATCCTGATGTGATCAGTTCTTACATATCCCATACCATTTTTTCCTATTGGCATTCCAAATTGAAAATGTCTGTATGAACCAGAGAAGTGTATTACTGCTACTCTTAGGGCAATGTGGCAGTTTCTTTTACCCATTTACTTGTGAAGAAACCCAGAATTTTGTACATTTATTGTGTAAAATGGTCACACATCAAAGAACTAGGCAAAAAAAAGCCACAGAATCATTATGGTTAATGTATCATTTTTATAAATCAATGAAGTGCAAAGTGTTAGGTACATTGTTGCCTTCTCCAAAAAATTCTCAGTTCTTGTCACAAACCTGTAAGCAACTGAGCAGCTTCTGTCTGTATCTAAAGTAAAAAAAAACACATTACATATAAATAGTGCAGCCAGAAAATGAAAATTGTTAATTAGACTGGTTTCTAGGGGTTTCAAGATAATAAAGACAGGACATGGTATGAATAAGGTCTCTGGATAGTGATGATTAGATGAAACTCCAAGAGAACTCTAGTTCATTCTCTTAACCTTCCATATCCTAACCCCAACTCCATTCCCCCAGTGTCAGAAATTGAACCAGGTCTTTGTGCATGTCAGATAAGCATCTATGGCTGAGTTGACTCTTACATTTTAGAAATCACATCTGATTTTATATATATATATATATAAATAGATACACATCAATTTTCTGCACTGCAGCAAGCAACTTATAACATTTGGTGATAGTAACTAAAGAGTTCTCATTGTAAACTGTAAAGGTAAATAAACAAATGGGCACTTGTACTTTCCACAATACTATGCATTTAAACAATTATACTTTTAAAGAAGTTCTCAGTTCATTTATTTACTAATGCCTCAATGAAAGCCTATCTGCCTTACTTTATTACAGATATTTTACCTGTTTATCTTCTTCTGTGTGTGCTGGATAACCCTTGGCTTTTACCAGCCAGAAAGCAGCAAGCTTTTTGTTGTTTAGTTTCAAGTATGTCTTTCCTAAAAGCAGCAAGTTTTTGCTGTAGAAGTTTGGATCCACTGTACATAAGGAAGAGAAACAAAGTCAGCTCCAGAGAAATAGTGTTTTTATTTTTATAGGTTTAAATTTTTTGGTCTAAATTCTAATAAAATTGTGTGGTAAAACAATGATTAGGCTAATATATTTTGTTCAATTGTTACCTTTTAAAAACTACCCTAAGATAATTATGTATTGAATATACTTATGGGCTCCATATATTACTATACCAAGGTCTCACTTTAAGAATTCAGTATATGGTATCTTCATGCTGATAGAACATGAGCTATATAAGAACCATTTCCTTTTTAAACCACCCATCCTTATTGTATTCCAATTGCCTAGAATAGTGTAGGGAAAGTAATATACTTAGTGCATTTGTTCAGTGAATGAGGGAATGCATGAAGTCATGGTTAATATAAATTTGATCAATTTGTTAAATGTCTCCTATACTTAGGTACAGAGAGGGAAACATGAACACAACTAAATACTTTGCCAGATATAAACTTATGCACTATAAGAAGTCACATTTAAAAAACAAACAAACAAAAAAAAAAACCGACAACTAATTGATAAACATCTTGGAGGATGAACAGGATTTTAACAGCTATAGTAGAGAATATTCTTGGTTGAAAGAAAAGTACAGACAAAGCTTAGCAATGTGAGAATAGAATAGTGGTTACCAGAAGCTGGATAGGGGATCACAAAAGTAGGGAAATATTTTTAACAATTTACTATATATTTTTCAAAGACTTACAAGACTCCAGTATTTCCCAATACAGAGATGATATATGCTTGAGATGGAGATAACTTTTGACTTGATAATTACTTTATGTATGAATACACTGAATTACCAATGCTCCATAAATATGTATAATTATATGTTAAATAAAAATATTTTTTAAGAAGTCTATGAAGGCAAGTATAAAAGAATCCTCTCACTAACTTTTTGTTTTATGTTGTTTTTATTGAGAGAGAATTCTGCTGTGTAGTCCAAGTAAGCCTGGAACTGAAAAATTCATTGTGACTCAATTTCATAGTACCTCAGTCTCCTAAGTGCTGGTGGTGACAACAGTCATGCACACCACACTCAGCTCTAACTTCACATAGTTTCCTCTTAATAATCTTGGCCTTTCTTTATTCCAAGCATGCTTTCGTAGGCCAGGGATGAAGCTTGGTAATAGAACACATGCCTAGCACATACCAGGCTCTAGGTTTAAAAAAAAACAAAAAACAAAAAAAAAAAGCCTACTTTTTCCTGGATAGAACTTATGATTACCTGCATTTGCTTAAAACTCAGAGTCATTTAGTTTCTTTGATTTCAACATTTTAAGGTTAAGTACACTGATTTATGCATCTACATCCTCATCCAGGAAGTCAGCCAAGTACCATATGTGAAGAAATAGAAATATAATCATGAGCCAAAAAGAAAAATATCCCATCTACTCACACACAGCCTTACACACACAAACAGCAGAATCAGGAGACCCATATGGGAGGTATATGACACACAACATGGGAGGGTCTTCAGGACTAGAGCAGGCATCCTTATACTTACAGAAAGTGACGGCTTAGATAAAATCCTATGTGCAAGTGGAGCTACCATGAGCAGAGGAGCACAACTTCATTCAGGACTGCCAAACCTTACCTTAAGGTCTAATTTTTGCTTTAGAATTACAGTTTCATACACCTTTGAGATAATTTCATTCTTAGATTCATATTCATGAATAGGATCAGTTCATATTCATAATATGCTCAAAAATCATCAATAAAATGAGCAGTGAACAAAACTCTTGAGTTAGAAATATTTAACATTCAAACATAGTTATCACCAAATTGCTTAAGCACCTCAAATTAAAAAAAGATACCTTAGTTTTCTGTTATTAGGAAATGTGGGTATCATATGCCTATAAAATTCCAATAATTGGAAGCTGAGGCAGGAGAATTGGTACATTGAGGCCAGCTTGAGTTTTGTAGTGAGAACTATCAAAAAGAAAATGAAAAGGTATTTGGAGTGGCTTTTATGGTACATTTGGTTACAGAAACTTCTTTTTCTATTATTGTTTCTTCTTGTTTGGGGGACTGAACTGAGGGCCTTGTGCGTGTCAGCAAAGCCCTGTGCCATTGAGTTAACAACCACAATCCTATATGTTTTTTAAGGAGAAATGTAGGACAGGCAAGCAACAGAGTTACAGGAGTAGCCATTTTTTTTTTTTAAATCAAAGTAAGAAAAACAAACTCTTTCACAATGGAATGCAATATACTGCATTAGCCTGGTTTTAAATAGTATCCATTCAGGTGCCTCTAACTAACTATAAAATATCAAATTAGACAATTTGTGCAAGCTGCCTCATAAAAAATTACATTAAATGATGGGAACATTACTGAATTAGAACTCTGAATTTAAGTGCAATTCCTATTTAGGTGATCCTTATTAAAAAAAAAAATTAAAATTTGAGGCTGGAGAGAGAATTCATGGTTAAGATCACTGAATGTTCTTCCAGTGGACCTGGGTTCAATTCCCAGCACCAACATGGCAACTCACAACTGTCTGTTAACTCCAGCCCCAAGGGGATGCCCTCTTCTGGTCTCTAAGGACACCAGACATACACGTGGTACACAGACATATATGCAGGTCAAATACCCATACATATAAATTTTTTAATTTTATATTATCTAATGTGAAAGATAAAGCAAATATATATTTATCTTGATTTATAATTTTCTATGACATAGTCAACACCGAGACAATATTATTCGAATAGTTGAAATAAAAGTATTTCACCTTGTTCTGCCCTGTGAAAGTATTTCAAGGCCTGTTAAGAATACAAAGAGTAAAATAGAATAGAATTAGATTCAATAACTCAGGAAAAAAAAAAAAACCCATATTTTCTTTAAGATTTATTCTTACTATTAAAGGTATCAGGAAGTAAATGATTATTAAAAGAAATAAGTTCAGTAGGGAGATTAACATAGGTTTAATATAACACTATTAAATCATCCAAAACTAGGATTTTAATAATGAAGATCACTTCTTATAATTACCTGGTTGAGTTTGTACCAGACTATCCTGGCACAAAGTTATGGAACTGATCATGCGTAATTCAGCTGCTACCATTCTCCTAAGTCATGATAGTCATACTTCTCGTACAAACTAGATATGATTAAATGGTGAATTCATTCACTGCTTATACTTTTTGAGGTATAGAGGTAGGGGTGTGTGTGTGTTTGGCTTTGACTGGGAATGGAAAGAAACCAGGTTCCTCAACATCTGATTGTATACCATAGATTCCTAGGGACAAACAACAACAAATACTCCTTACTATGATAGGAGAAATACTAGGATAAATTTTTTCAACTGCCAAGTTCCTTATATTTTGAAAATTAAGGGATAAATAGACTTAAGATTTTCATCCAGTAGGCTAGGAAGATAGGTCAGTGGTAAGATCCTGGTTCAAACCCCAGCATTCAAAGGGTGGACTTTAAAGCTTGTATACAAATTCTTTTCAAATTTTATTTTTATAGGAAAATCAAACAGCCTTTAAAATATGAGGAGCCTTTCACACTCAATAATTTTTTTAAAATCAATTCTTACATGTTCTTCATTTCTCTAGATGACTTGCTATGTATAATATCTAAAACTTACTGAATGGATAACAATTACTATCTTTCTCTATTTTATGACTTCTATGTGGCATAGATTACAAACAGAAAATGGAGGTCTGTTTTCGCCATTAGCTACTTTTGCTGACAATATACCAGAATTATCAGCCTAAACCACTCACCTAAACAACAAGGAAAAAAAAAACAGCACTCACCAGTCCTGGACAGTAAGTATTAAGCCTTTGTGATATTGTTGAATTGGATCATTAGAAACTCGCTCAAGTCCCTCACAGAATCAGATCTCCATATGTGTGGACACTGTAGAATGGTACTGTAGTTAATAAATCGGTACTAACTTAACAAAGGACATCATACTACCTCCTCATAGGTGGAACTAGGAGGATTTGCAAACAGCACTTTAGCAATTCTTCTTTGATACCAAGGCATTTCAGCAAATGTATAGCACCTACAGGGCAAGAAAGAGATAGCATTACACATTCAAATTGTACGATTTTTACTCAGAGAACCAAACATTTTAATAGATATTATAAAAGGAATCCTCTATAATTATTTTAAATAACTGGAACTTTACATGATACATAGTTGGTTAATATTCATACTTAGTTTATTATCTAGAGACAGACCTGATTCAGGAGTTGGGTCTATTTTGTGATTAAATGTAAACAATTGTGGTCACTTTGTGCCAGGTACTGGACCAACATTACTCTCTTTCTTATTTGTTCCTTAGAACAACTAAGTGACACAGGATCGTTATTACAATTTGTTTTAAGTTTTCTTTTGAGAATGGCTTAGATGTATCCCAGGCTAGCCATGAACTCCTAATCCTTTTCTGCCTCATCTTCACTGTTGAAGGGCTTATGCCTGGCTTACTACTAGTTTTGAATAAGAAAATTCAGAATTTTTTTAAATGACAAAACGTAATGTACTATACATGAATAACAATATCAGCCACTAATTTATGCCCATTTAAAAAAGAGTGAAGCAAATAATTAGCATCCAAAAATAATGACAACTTTCTGAAGTAGGAAAAAAACTGTTTCAGATCTTTGACTAGAGACTGAACTCCTTGAGGCATAGATTGTATCACACATTTGCTTATTGATTAAGTGGCTGTCCTTTGATAATTATTCATCTTCAGTGGGTAGTTTATCTGAAAAGTATTTCTTTTGTAAAAGAGTACGACAGACTTTTATACCAGCAAATATTTAAAACATTGGTATGCCCTCATACCAGCAAAATAATTCCTCATATTGGACACAAGGTCACATTGAAACTGGAAGAAAGATTACATAGTTCTCCAGAATATTCAAATCTCAATCTGATGTTTTGAAGATACAAAGACCTCCTGTGGCAACCTACTGTATTTATAACAATGCAGTTTTATTTAGCATTGTAAATGAGGTCTTTCCCAAGAAAGGAAATCTAGAGGTCTACAGAAAAAAATCTTAAAGTCTTTTTAGTTTTCTTGGGATTTTTATTTTTCTGGTGGTGAGAAAGAGGGTTTTGAGACAGGGTCTCATGTGAACGTTACTGCCACGAACTCATTAATCTTCCTGCCATTGTCTAAGTGCTAGGATTACAGGCATGCGCCACCATGTCTGCCTACATTTACTATCTTCTAGCAATATATACACAAGTGCTATTTAGTGATTTAATACTCAGCTCTGTTAAATAGTATTTTAAATAGTTTATTTCGCTTAGATATATATTGTAAAATAAAATATTGCTTATACATAGTACGAAATAAGATCACACTAAATAGGACAGAAACATTACTGAAATTTTCTTACCAAATACCCATAAGGTGAATTGAAGTAGCATCTTTAGGGTTCAGCTCAATGGCTTTCTGTTAAGAAATAAAATCTTTCTAAACACCAAAGCAGCAGTGAATTAAAAAAAGAAAAGTATAACTCTGCATTTTAAAAGATGTGTGTGTGTGTGTGTGTGAGAGAGAGAGAGAGAGAGAGAGAGAGACAGAGACAGAGACAGAGACAGAGACAGAGAGACAGAGAGAGAGAGAGAATGAGAGAGACAGAGAGAGAGAATAAATACCACACACTTGCAGGTGCCCATGGACACTAGAAGAGGGTGTTGGGCCATTTGGCGCTGGAGCCCCCTGCTGTGGGTTCTGGGAATTGGACTGGGGTCCTCTGGGCGAGCAGTCTCGGCACTTTCAACCACTGAGCCATCTCTCTAGCCCCAAACCTGCATTGTAATCAAAACAGCGTTTTCCCTCAGGACACATTCTTCCCCTTCACTGCCCCCCCCATGTGTGTTTGTTTATATGGGTTTAGGTGAAAGGTTAAAGCCAGATGTCTCCTCAATCATTCTTCACCCGGATTTTACCAACCTGGAGCTCACTGACTGGTTAGACCAGCTGGCCAGCAAGTCCCGAGGATCCTCTTGCCTTTGCCTCAGCACACACTAAACGAAGAAGTGCCCATCTCCACACATAACATTTTACATGGATGCTGAGCAGTCAAGCTCTGGCCCTCATGGTTACATGTCAGATATTTTATACACAGCCGTCTCTTCACCCTCATATTCTTAATTGGTTCAAGTTGTTCAATACACTATTAAAGACTTAGACTAAAGATATATTTTACATGCTTCAGAAATTGGTTTAGGAGGTGAGAAACCCCATAAAATATACAAATTAATCTAATTCTGAAAATAGTTTAATAAAGCACAATTGTTACTATTTCTTTAAGATAAAAGGAAGGATAAATAAGTCCTTTATGTTAAATTTAATTGAATATTGGAGAAATGTCTTCTCATTATCACCTCTACCCAAATCAATGTGACACAAAACCATTTTATGTACCCCTTTAAAAAGAATAAAACATACTGCTTCCAGAGCTGGAGGGATGGTTCAGCAGTTAAAAGCACATGCTGCTCTTGCAAAGGACTTGGGTTTGGTTCCCAATATCCCTGTGGCAGGTTAACAACCATCTGTAAGTACAGTTCCAGGGGTTCTGACACCATCTTCTGACCCTCTGGGCACTGCATGCATGTGGTGCATATACATATGTACAGGCAAAACACCCATTACAGAAAGAAGAAGAAGAATACTTCTAATTTATACTGTAAGGTGACACTAATTCTGTGATGCAATCTTAATTCAGGTATATTAAAACATAGGACATGTAAACAAACTGTAATATGTAACAATGCTTGTTTGAGAAGTTAGGTGTCCTGGTTTCTAGTCCAATGTTATTTTTCTCTAGTAACTACATAAGCCAGAAACTGGGACTTGTAGCCATCAGCTTCTGAGGAGTTACTGAGTAGCATACCCAGCCCATTCCTACATGTGCTTTGAGATGATCTATAATAATAAAAGATTTTTAAATGCTGAACATTTCTATGGTAGTTTTGTTCTCTGTGTAAGAATAATAAAATAGTGTGCACATGGAATATGAAATATATAGATTTCTGTGTAATTTTTACCACTGAACAAAAATTACTAAAAGAAGTAAATTAATTTTAAGGAGAAATTTCAAACAACATAAAATACACACAACATAATCATAAACAAAATCATTACTACTAATAAAGGTGTGTCAATTGTATTAGACTATTATATTTTAACTAATGGGCATTCAAAACCTTCCACAGAAACTGGCTTAGCCTGTGACTTTTTTTTTTTTTGAGACAGTGTCTCAGAATTGTCCTGAACTCACAGATATCTCTGATTCTGAGTACGTGTATTAAAGGCATGTGCCACTACAGATAGCAAATTTTTAAATTCAATACAGGGTTATCAGTTGTGCTACAAATGGTTTGAAAAAGTTTGTACACTGGAACTTTTCTTTTGGAGCATTCACTCTTGAATGCCATCTCTGATACTGTAGAGAAGCTTGGGCTAGACCCCTAAACAACAGGACAAGTAAAGAGGAACTAAGATAGATGAGACGCCATCATGAATCTCCCAGCCCTAGCTAAGTAAAGCATATAATGGTTGTAGCTCTACCAAGCAAGGCAAAAGCACTAATACATTCAATTGACCCAGAAAATGGGAAGAAATAATGAACTATTATTGCTGTATCCCACTAGGGTTTGGCTGTGCTTTTTAAAATGAGATAGGTCTTGTTCTGTTTCCTCAGATAGGTCCCTAACTCCTAGGCTCAAGTAATCTCATGCCTTTGCATACAAGAGTTGGCATACAAGTATGCAGTAACATGTTCTCTATACAGTAATTGAAACTACAACACATCCACTCAGAAAACTACTGACTTCTTAAATTGATGAACTTAAATCAGTACCTCAAAATGTTCCTTGATAATGTAGGCATTTGCAATCTTGACCTTGATGCCTTCATAGTCTCCAACATCACTAATGCAGATCGCATACCACTAAAAGTAGGAAAAATAAAAGATGAGAATGCTGATCGTAATAAAAAATTACACGAGTCCTCTCCATTGTTCTCATTTAGCAAAATGTTACTTAGCATAATGATGAATTAAGAACAAAAGGTACAAATAAAAGCAGACATGGCCCCCTAGGAACTAAAGGATAGGACACACAGAGCTATAATACAAGGTAGAAAGTGGTGAAATCTAAGACAATTGCCAATATAACAGAGAAATAACATCTGAATATACATTTAGATAGGGTTGTAATGAATGACTCATTGTACTGTCTCATCTCCTTTTTCAACATCTGTATTGCTATAAATAGAAAGTCACAACTGCCAGCTATAACATCACCTTCATAGCCACTGTTGGACAATGGACCCCAACTGAGACGATCTGAGTTTCTCTACAAAGAATTAAGTCTAAATATCTAAACTTCATAAACTCAGGTGTTATGGAGAGCCACCAGATTTATGGTACATTTGGGGAAAAATTGTCTGCAGTAAAAAATATTTGTGAAGACTGAGCTAGTTTTTCTTGGGGGACCAGAAGGACCTGCCTATGAGTTCTGTGCATGCAAGTTTCTTATTATATTCCTCCCCTGTGTATGAGCTATAGCTAAAGGATCCAAATACACAACATAAAAAGATATAAATTTATTTAAATCTACTTTCCACAGAAACTTTCTGTGTCCTGGCATGTTTAGTAGAAATAAAATGGCACATTTTGAAACACACATATACACACCTCTCTATAGACTATTATTATTAAATCTGTTATCCAGTTGTACAAATTCAGTTCATTAGAAGGGTTAAACAGGATTTTAAACTTGCTGCTCAGACCTCCTCCCACATATCAGAGCGATTGAATAAAATAATCTCTTATGAATGGCTAGTGGTACAGTTCAATGGCAGGGTGTTGGGGTATCATGTGCAACCCACTGTGCCACAAACACAAAATTTCCTTTTTAAAAAAGGGATTTATTTAGCCAGGCAGTGGTGGTGCACATCTTTAATCCCAACAATCGGGAGGCAGAGGCAGGTGGATCTCTGTGAGTTTGAGGCCAGTCTGGTCTACAGAGCTAGTTCCAAGACAGCTAGGGCGGTTACAAAGAAACTGTTTCAAAAATCAAAAAGAAAAAAGGAAGAAAAATAATTTATTTTATGTATATTGGTGTTTTGTCTGCATGTATGTCTGTATACTGTATGTGCAGTGCCCTAAGGACAGAACAGAGCATTAGATCCCCTGGAACTAGAGTTACAGGTGGCTGTTAGCCACCATGTAGGTGCTGAGAATTGAACCTAGGTCTGCAAGACTAACAAGTGCTCTGAGCCATCTTTCCAGCCTCTAGAAAGTCTTTAATGCATTTACTACCTATACACGAAACAAACATGGAGCATTTTCTCCTTGATTAGCCTACCATTTATTAGACTATTCCTTAAGCTTATACTGCAAGAGCTGATGTCATGCTTATACTAGCAGTAGCAGAAGTATGCTAGTTAGTGTCTTCTCTTTCCATATCCACCCATTTCAATTTCTAAAATGTCCACTATCTAAAATCAGTTTACATTTAAACTTCTGTTGTTGGTGGTGTTGGTGTTGGTGGTGTTGGTGGTGGTGTGTGTGACAGAATGAGTATGGAGGTTAGAGCACAACTTTTGGGAGTTGGTTCTCCTTTCCTTGGAGGACTAAGAATCTCTTGTTTTGGTTGTTCTCATATTCTAGGCTGCCAGCTACCAGCTTTATGGAAATTCTCTTGCCTCCACTTCCCACCTCACCATAGGAGTGTTGGAGTTACAGTTGTAAGCCATCCCATCTGGTTCTGCCTCAATTATAGGAAAATTAATCTAGATGCTGCTCTAGTGCTCCCTTGGGCAGCACATATACTAAAATTGGAACTATATAGATGCTGCTGTAGTCCTGCCTAACAGAAGTTAAGACAAGTCTCTACAGCATCAGATTGTTTCTGAGTAACTCAACTATGTTTGAGAACACAGCCCAGGAATAATTTCAGTACTACTTAGAGGAGGAAGGGCAAGAGAGCAGTAGCAGAGTAAGACTCTTAGACATTTTTTTTCTTCACTGGAATAGCAAATTTAATCGCTAAAATCCCAAAATCCCTTACAAGAGCTAAGGGAATAAATTGATGAAATTATAGCACCTAGTTTTAGCCTTCTAATAAGAGTACTAAAAAAAAAGCAGAGGGAGAAGTTTGCCAGTGTATGCCACCCCTTGTTCCAGGCAGCATGTTATGGAGAATACCCTTCCTCTTTGGTTAAAGTAGGAACAAAGAATCAGTTCAAGCTTTTAGATTTACAAACCAGTACCAGTCCTGCCAAAGTAAAAACCATTACTTCTTAATATATTAATGTAGTTATTACTTAATTTTTAAAAGTCTCTCTATTAAAGAAACAAATGGATGGATGTTATCAAACCAAAGGAAGATAACAACAACGAAGACAACAGTAGAGATACAACAGCAAAACTCCCAAGAAAATACTAGCAATCAGTCCAGTATCACATTAAAGATTATTTACAATAATCGAATTCCCACAAATTGTCCTCTGACCTTCACAGGCAGGCTATGGCATGCTCAGGTGTACACACATACACACTAGATGAATGTATTTTTTGCGGTGGTGGCGCACGCCTTTAATCCCAGCACTCGGGAGGCAGAGCCAGGCGGATCTCTGTGAGTTCGAGGCCAGCCTGGGCTACCAAGTGAGTCCCAGGAAAGGCGCAAAGCTACACAGAGAAACCCTGTCTCGAAAAACCAAAAAAAAAAAAAAAAAAAAAAAATAGAAACTAAAGGGGGTTGAGAGATGGCTCAGCAGTAAAGGGCACATAATGTTCTTTCAGAGGACCCAAGTTTGAGTTTCCAGCACCCACATAAGGGCTTACAACTGTCTATAACTCCACTTCTAGGAGATCAAGTACCCTGTTTGTCCTCCTCGGGGTAATGCACACATGTGGCATAGAAATGCACACAGACAAAACACTCCATACATAAAATTTGAAAATAAAATATTTGTTTAAAAAAAAGGAATAAAGTTTTACTATAAAAATATCAACAAAAGAAGGAGCTAAAAAACAAATTTTTGAGATGAAAATACTGAAAAAGAGCTAGACAGAATTACAGGTACATGCCTGTAATCCTAGCACTAGGGAATCTACAGGCTACAGTTTATACACATGTTTAGTTGAACTGAAAAGTTCAATAGCAAGAGCTCATTAGCAGACCTGGACAAGCTGAAGAAAAACATCAGCTAACATGAAGATATATCCACTGAGATTATCCTGTCTGGTCAGATGAGAGGAAAAGGAATGAAGAAAAGTAAGCATAGCTTCTGAGAACTGTGGGGTAGCACTAAACCTACCCATACATGGAAGTTTCAGGAGACCAGAGAGAGAAAGGTACTAAAAATTGATTTGAAACTCCAACTTGCAAATCCTTCCTTTGAAGAACAAATCTCAAGACAGAAATTCAGAGAGCTCCACAGCAAAAGGTACAAACCATCAAAATAAGATGATCCCTAAAGCACCAGGAAGGAACCATACATCAGTATAAACCATCTTCATAGGGGTTAACAGCATATTTCTCACCAGTAGCCACGGGTGCCTGTCTTAAGTGGGCTTGGCTGCTGTAACAAAACGCCATTGGCTGGATGCATTAAACAACACAGCCCTATTTCTCACATTGGTTGCAGAGGCTAGGAGGTCAAACACCAAAGTGACACAAAGTGACAGCAAATTTTGTCAGAGTAAACAGAATAAAGATACATAAGAACCAATCTCTATATACTAATGAAATTGATTCCTGGCCCAAAGTACATTGCTATAAACTATAATTCTAATGAAAATAAGCAATAAAATAAAGGAATTAAACACATGCATATAATCTAATACCAAAAAAAATAGACATAAACTGAAGAACTGAGAAACAAAATGACATGACAACATAAAACCAGCAAAGTGGAATAAACAGTTCCTCCTATTATTGAGTAGAAACTGATAGAATGCATTAAAAACATGAATCAATATATGTTACATAACACTGAGATTCAAAGAAACACAGGATGAGGGTAAGAGTATATAAGTGGTACTTCATGTAAACAGTACTAGAAAGAGATGGAATGGTTACACTAATAACAGACAAAATGACTAAAGACCAAAAAAAGTATAGATGGAAAATACAATCTAGATATAACAATTGTAGAAAAAAATACACATAACAGAAGCCCAAAATATCCAAAGACACTGAAAGAGAAAAAAATGGATCATTCAGCTATTTCAACACCCCACTTTTAAGAATGGATAGAAAAACTAAATAGAAACCAGCAGGGAACAGATTTGAATACTGAAAACCAATTAGATTTCACAGATGCAAAATATTCAACCCACCTGAAATACAGTTAATGATTAAAAAATATGCTAGCCCCCTGCTGAACTGACAGGTAGGTGACTCTAGATACATAATGCCCTCCCTATACCAGCCTCTCTGAGAACTTAGGGCAAGTGTTATGGAAGGATTCTCAGAGTCTTGGCAATCAGGACACCTCTGGAGCAAACCTTAGCCAGAACTATGCAGTGTCCTACACAGTGGAAACCTGCTTTGAGCCATACACTGGGAGTGAAACTCACTAGGTCTTTGGAAGAAAAGATAAGCAGTGGTAAGAGCTTAAAGGTACTAGGTACTAAGGCATACTATTGGAAAAATTGGTAACAGCCCTGTCCAATTCCTAGAGACTGAAACATACCTCTAGTTATAAGAACCATTGCCTAATCTAGACTACACTCTGTGGTTGTGATATGCACAATACAAAGACCAACACAAAAAGAGTATACTAGAAAGGCTATGCTCCATTCCATGTAGTCAGAGAAGGAAAAGCAAGACAGTATAGGAATAGGACCTGCACCTACACTAAGACAAATGATGGCCCTGAGACAATGCACATGCAGTCAAGTAACTGCATAGAGTAGCGCTTCTCAGCCTGTAGATAGTGGCCCCTTTGGGGGTTGCATATCAGATATCCTGCAAATCAGATATTTACATCATGATTCATAACAGTAGCAAAGTTACAGTTATGAAGTAGCAATGAAATAAATTTCTGGTTGGGGATCACCACAACATGAGGAACTGTATTAAAGGATCACAGCGTTAGGAAGGTTAAGAACCACTGGCATAGAGAAAACCTCTACCTGTGCATATGCCAGAGACTATACTAGACAGTTTGCATCTATTATAAAGCAAGTGACTGAGTAAAGCCATTGCATATGTGAATGACCGCATACAGTATGCACCTGTACATTCACAAGTGACCAGAGACTCTGCCCCTGCACACACACAAGGCACTAAACAGTCTATACCTGTACTCATGAAAGTGACTGTAAAGATACAGACACAATTTGCTATCTAATTTTAATTCTTCTCTCTCCTTCCCTTTCTCCCTCTCCCTCTTTCTCTGGAGACAGTCTTTCCCAAAGGACCCAGGCTGTCTTGGACTGGGAGATCTCCCTGCCTCAGCCTCTCAGGCACAGGAAGTGTTTTAGGTTGTATGGGTGCAAGTTTCTATCCACTCTACTATTCATGCTACCTGTATAAAGTGAGGACATGACTGCTCCAAGGTATGGCGGAGGGGAAGATTTTTCTTGTAGACATGAGGAAGAGTACAGCTAGAGGCATCTGGAAGTGTCCAGAACAGGAAGAAAGTAGTAGACTGAACATAGTCAGTAGAATGAACCAGGCCCTGAGAAGAAGGGTCGGAAGAAGACAGAGAGGGGGAGAGAGAGAGACACAGACAGAGAGAGAGGAGGAGGGGGGGGAGGAGGAAGAGAAGAAGGAGGCGAAGGAAGAAAGAAAGAAGGAAGGAAGAAGGAGAAAGAAGAAAGGAGAGCAGGAGATCCCAGAGAGGGGTCCAAGAGAGAGCATGGCTCAAATGGCAGGATTATAGAGAAATGAGAAGCTGGGGGAAGGGAAGCCCATGAGCTGGAGAAGTTTAGGGTAGGGGGTGGGGTGAGAAGAGCTGAGAGGAGCAGGGATGCCAGGATGGATTCTGTAACAGGTACTTGAAATGCTGAGAGAGCCTAGATGCCAGCATGTTCTTTGGTATGCTAATAGGCATCACAGATAGCCATTTGTCCCAGGTTTCTTTTGGTATGACACCACCTATCTCTTTTCTTGTTTACAGCCTCCCCACTTTACACATTACTTCTTTTATCATTTCTCCATTGCTCTTACATAGATAACTAGGCTTACTTATTGTATTTTCCTTCCTGTCCTATCCCTAGCAATAAGTACATTAACAGATACTGTAATATCCTCATTCTTTTAGTCTCCCAAAGTTACTGGAGTTGAAGTAGAATTTGGCTTTTAGTTATTACTATCCTTCCTAGAGGTCCTCAGCATCTGAGATTCTGAGATCATGTCCTGAGCACATAAACTGAGGGTTTCATTACTGAACCATTTATTTAGTATATGAGGAAAAGTAACACTTCAACTCTACTACAACCTAGTCATACTGGAAAAATCACAAACATGTTAACTGAAAGAATACAGGGGGAAAGTACATTGGGGGTGGGGGAGGAGGTCATGGAACTCTCTTTGTAGACCAAGTTGGCCTTGAACTCAGAGATCCACCTGCCTCTACCTCCTGACTGCTGGGATTTAAGGTGTGTGCCACCATGCCCAGAGGACCCCCCCCCCCTTTTTGAATCAGTAAACTAATACAGATGTCCATGTTCCATCAGAAACACAGGAAATATGAAAAATCAAGGCAACATGACTCCTCTAAAAATTACCAATTCCAAGTAATGGATTTCATTGAGAATGAATAAGATAAAATTCAGGAGAATTCAAAGGATGACAATAAGAATATTCAATGAGGTAATGCAAGGTATGCACGTGCGCGCGCACGCACGCGCGCACACACACACACACACACACACACACACACACACCAACAACAACATAAAACTTTGGAATAAATTCAAAGAGAATATAAATGACTCTGAGAACATGAAAAAGAGTTCAACAAAGAGATAAACAGTCAAAAGAAATTTTATAAATGGAATCAAAAGGCCAAATAAAAGCACAGTGGGAAGACTTATTAGTAGATTGGGTAAAGTACATAGACAACAGATATAAGAGGCTGAAGATAAGGTATTTGAGTAGCTGCACACACACACACACACACACACACATACACACACACACACACACACACACACACACACACAAAGAAGTGCTACCACATGATCCAATTTCTGGGTACATACTCAAAGAAATTGTAGTAAGCATATCACAGAGACACTTGTGCATACAACGTTTATTGCAGCACTAGTCAGTATCACCATGTTATGGGATTAGCCTATGAATAAATACTGAAAATAAAGTCATAATGAAACCCATAACTTTATATGCTAAACCTAATAATTAATAAATTTTAAAGAAAATAAGGCATATATACATAAAGGAGTTTTAAGGAGCCATAAATAACTGAATTATGGCATTTGTTGGAAAATAGGCACATCATACTAAGCAAAATAAGCCAGGTAGTTACCTGTTTTGTTTTTTTTTCTCATTTGTAGAGCCTAGATTTTTATGCAGACACATAAGACCATATATATGACAAAACAGAGACATTGGAGGAAGTACTGTATCTAGCAAAAGGAAATGGGAGAATAAAGTGTATAGGAGGTGAAAATGGTCAAATTACTTGAACCCTGAAAGTATCTTTATAGGCTCTCCCAAAAGGAAGTAAAAGAGAGACAATTAGGGACATGGGAGGAAATAAAGTAGGTGGTGATAGATAAGAGAGGATAGTGAGGGTAATTTTATATCCACCTATGAAAATGTCAGTGAAACCTTTTTGGTATGATTGGTATATATCAATTTTAAAAGATTTAGTAATATAAGCAACACACTGGAAAAAATAATAATTTAAATACACGTCAAAAATTTTTAAAAATAGATTGAGCTACAGAGATGGCTCAGCAGTTGAGCACTGCTCTTGCAGAGGACTGCAGTTGGATTCCCAGCACCTAAGTTAGGAAGCTTACAACTGCCTATTACTCTAGTTTCAGTTGGATTCAATGCCTCTGACTAGGATACTAGTGCACCTGCACTTGCAGGCACATACTCACATAAAGACACATACATGTACACATCATCTAAGATAGACATCATTTAAAAAAAAGAGGATGTTCTCTGATTACAGTACCTTTCCCTCAAAAATAAGGAATAAGACAAAGGTATTGATTCTGGTCACTACCACTCAACATTGTACTTAAGAGTCTAGCCAGGGAAACTGAGGATGGAAAAGTAGTTTTAAAAGTGTTCAAATGGGCCGGGCAGTGATGGCACATGCCTTTATCCCAAACTTGGGAAACAGAGGCAGGCACAGTTCCAAGTTCAAGGCCAGCCTGGAACAGACTGAGTTTCTGGACAACCAGGGACACACAGAGAAACCCTGTCTTGGGGGGAAAAAAAAAGGTGTTCAAATGGGAAAAGAAAATATAAAGCAAAATTTATAGATGATATCATCTGATCTTACATCTGTAATAGAATCCTAAATAGAACCAATAGATAATTACTAAACAAACACAGGATATAAAATTAAAATGCAAAAATGGTTGTATTCGTATATACCAGCAATAAATAATCTCAAAAAAATTTTAAGTAAACAAGAGAATCAAAAAAATATTTGAGAATAAATTTAACCAAATTAAGTCAACTAATGTACTTAGAAAATACAAAACACTGCTGTAAAACATTAATGATCTAAATATGTAGAAAGTGGGCTAGGATTCTTAGTATCATCAAGATCTTCCTCAAGTTGATCTATAGTCAGTGAAATGATAGTCCCAACAGGATGATTTGTGAAAACACTACACAGAAACTCAAGTGGAAAGGGCTGGAAAGATGGCTTAGCAATTAATAACACTTCTTGCAGAAGACATGGTTCTGTTTCCAGTACCCAAGTGGTGGTTTACAACTGTTTGTAAACTTCAGTTTCTAAGGGATTTAACGTCCTCTTCTGACCCCCTATTGTACCAGGCATGCACGTGATGAACATATATACATATATACAAGCAAAACACTCATACGAATGAAATGAGCAATTATTTGTAAAAATTTGCTTTTAAATTTTCTTAAAAGAAAAAAAAAAGTTCAAATCCAAGAAGCTATTGACCTCACTGCCACTCTCTTCGCATCACTGAAAAACCACTGTAAACCCGTCAGGAGATGCAGAAGCTAACTAAAATATGGGAATAATACTAGTTCTCAGTTTTCCAGTTGCTATACTCCCACTGCTGCATATACCAGAAACAGTCAAGAAAGGAAACAGTAAAGGGGTGGGTTGGGGGCGGGGAGTGTTTCAGACAAGAACTTACAATGTGGCCTAAGCAATCCTGGAACTCTCCATTTTCCTTCCCCAGAGCTGAGATTACAGGTTTATACCAACATGCTCAGCATTAAACATAATAACTATACTAACTACAAATAAAGATCGGTGACTTCTAGCATTTGTTTAAAAATAGGCACACATAAGCATTCCCAAAAGTATTTTAGCAAGCATACTAACGGAGTTAGACTACCTATTCAAATTCAAAACTGTATCAATCCTGTTTCTAGTCCTTTAAAGTGGAGCATTTTTTCTTCTCACAGAAGTTAGGGCTAACACATGACATTTTATTAACTAACTCACCTTATGAGCAGCAAAACTTGACTCGTTTTTCTCTAGTGCTCTTTTTGCATACTCTAGGGCTTCATACACCAAAGCTTTTTTTTCCTCTTCTGAAGTCCTACTAAGCTGTGCTATGTCACGTGATGTTCGTGCCAAACGCCACAGTAACTCTGCATCTTCACTAATTTTGGACAAGATATAAAACCGTCTTAATTCACACTGAAAAACTGTTAAATGTCGCATCACTAATGAAAATTCTTTCAGCTGAGTTAGGATGTATCAGGTATCATAGAAGAGGCATTTTTAATACTGTTATTTTCTTTTATAAAAGCCTTTATTTGCTAAAATCTATTGAAAATTTCCAAATTATTTGCAAACACACACACACACACACACACACACACACACACACACACACTATCTAAAACAGTGACCTCTTTAAAAAATATTTTTGTATTTCAGTTCTCTGAACACTTGTCTTCAAGCTCAACATATATCATGAGGCTTGATTTACTAACACTGTACTTCACACAACTCCTAACTGGCTCAGATAGTACCATAAAATACATTAGCTTTATGAACAGGATCATACTTTATAAAAATGGAACTTCCAAATCCTTTTCCCCAAATACATTTGGCAAAAAGAGATGTGTGATAGTTACTTATTTGTACATGAATGAATGATTGAACAAATGCAATCTCAAACTAAATCCTAAGTTTCAGTGCCATGATGTTGTATGACATATTTCAAGTAAGGGCACTAGAGTCCTTAAGAGCTATTATTTAAATATAATCATATGAAACAAAAAATGGCTAATAAATTAAAAAAATCACAGTGGATAAAAAATGTTTTAACCTCGAATTACTTTTTATTAAATGTGTGTGTTTAAAGCCTAATTTGTATTTTTTTTCTTTGTTGATGAAAAATAACATTCACTTAAATGTTGAAGCTAAAGGTATCAAAAAAGTATGTTTATTATTCAGTTACATGGAATAATTACACCTCATAGCTTACTTTTCAAATAAGCAATGTAAAATGCTAAAACAGCCAACTCACAAAAAAACACTGAAGAAGTAAAGACTAATTCTATAGATACTTATCAACTGAAGTTGACAGGAATGGGGCGGGGTGAAATTACTAATAAAAGTAGATGAAAAGCAACTCAATATTTCCAGAAGTAAATATCTGGAAATGTCACTTAGCCATATTTAACTCATAGGGTTGAGGTTTCCACCCCTACCCTCTGAAAGAGTGCCCACTGATATTCTACAGTAAGCATGTAATCTAGAACTAAAAACAGAAAATGGAAGTGTTTGGTGTTTCTTTGAAAACTCTAAACACAGCTGCCATCTAGTAGTGCCATAGAACTGTCCAAAACTCCAGTAAAGTCACTTAAATCTTATTCCAATTAGGAATTACTTTTTTAAAAAACAAGAAATATGGGTGATGAGAAAATGCATATATTTAGTGATACTTTTATAAATCAATGCAAAATAGAAAAATATTTCAACATTCCAGTAAATAAGAATAGTCTTTACAAATCAATGGGATTCAAATAGCACTTTTCAATCATTTACTTTAAATAATGATTTACTATAAACTGAACTCTAAGAAATACTACTTTGAGTAAAAAAAGTTATACAAAAATTTTAATACCAAGAACCATTTCATTGCTAAAAAAAACTTTTTTAGTTAACTTCAAACCCAGATAAATCATACATTGCTTACCTTTCTTTGTACTGTGTGAGCAACTGATAAAGCTTCTCTGTTTCTCCACTTTCATATAGGTAGTCTGCTTGCTCAAGTATTTCCTCAACTTCCAAAATCATAAAATGAAAAAAGATTGCCACTGTTATATATGCTAACAAAACCTGACACAGAAACTACCTTTAAATCAGAAATTCTGAACAACCCAGATAAAAGTACTGTAGCAGTAAGCCTGAAGTGATTATAGTAAGTGATCTACTGAAACTGGAGAGCATACAACTCAGAGAACATGGGATACTAAATTTGATGAATACAGTTTTAAAAAATGAAAGAGAATGATTCCTTATGAGGAATTTATGGCACAGACACTACAATCTTTTTGCTGCTGCTGTTAATTAAGTGCCATGTACTGTAGGAAAGGATGATATAGGGACTAAAGAGATGGTTCAGTGGCTAAGGCTAGAGTTCAGTTCCTAGCAGACATGTCTGGTGGCTCACAAACCACCTATAGCTGTAGCTGTAGAGTATCAGACACCCTCTTCTGTCCTTCTTGGGTAAACAAATGTTCATTCATACTAATTCCGCCCCCTCCGTCTTTCTCTCTCCTCTGTCTCTGTCTCTCTCTCACACATACATACACACAAACAAATAATAAATTTTTAAAGAAAATGATATAGTGTATCTACCTGCAGAACTACAAACACACTATTTTACTATATTTTCTTATTATCTAACTTATACATACACTGTGTTATAAAAAAGTCAAACCTGTCACAAACTTAGACAAAGCTAACCACACAGAGAATCTGTAATTTAATTTATTGGCACTGTATTCCATGCAAGTCTTAAAATAATTACACATGATTATAAAATACATATTGATCATAAAAATATTAATCACAATCTAATGCCCCCAAAATTTGATTGTTTACTGAAAACACAGTAAGTCTGAATCCCTGGAAGTTCCATTTATTACTAAGGTACACATGAATTTAAATTTTGCCTTCTATAAGAGTACCATATTATCTACTCCTCCTATAAGCTTATATTCAGTTTATTATTTATCTTGATTTTTATTTTAAATTCTTTTTCTTTTATGTATATGAATGTTTTGCCAGCACGTATGTCTGTGCATCATGTGTGTACCTGGTGAGTGAGAAGACCAGAAGAGGGTGTTGATCCCTTGGAACTGGAGTTAAAATGGTTATGAGCTGCCATGTGAGTACTGGAATGGAACTCAAGTCCTCTGGAAGAGCAGCAGTGTTTAACACTTTCAGCCCCATTTGATATATTGTAGTCATAGTCTTTTGAGGTTAAAAGTTTAAGTTAAAAAAATTAAAATCTATTAGACCAACCAAAACCATGAAATTCATGGCATAACCATACTGTAAGTTAATATTACTTATAAATTGGATGACAACAGTAAAGAAACACTAAAATTTATTAAAGATTTTTTTTCTTACTAATTGAACTTCCATCTGATTAGTAAGGATGAATTCTAATATATTCATTTGGCTGGTTAATTTATGAAGTTTGCTTCATTGTATTCCATTTTATTATTTATATATGAATAGTTAATTTGTCAAGTCTGATTTTAAACACAAGTTTTAGGATAAGTAGCAATTTCACCATTCTTACAATTAAGTAATTTTATTTTAACATATTTTTTGAGGTTTATTAATTTTTATTTTTATGTGTATTGGTGTCTTGCCTGCATGTATGTCTTCGTACCATGTGTATGCAATACCTGTAGAAGCCAGAAGAGACAACTGGATCCCCTAGAACTAGAGTTACAGACAGTTACTAGCCATGATGTGGGTGCTATAAATCAAACCTGAGTCCTCTGCAAGAGCAGTAGGTGGCCTTAATCACTTAGCTATCTTTCTAGTCCATTTATGTATTTTTTTAACTCTCAATATATATTACAGGGTAACAGGGAAATTACTTTCCATGTTCTGGGATTAGACAAGTACCAAATGAACAAGTTAATAAGTCTGTACTGTCATAAGTTACCAAATTTGCCAGAATAGTGACAAAAATACTAATACAATATTAAAGCATATTACTTGGTAATTTCAATAGTTACATGAAAATATATAAACAGCAGTTAATTTTATTTATTACTCTACAACTCCTGAAAACTAGTTAATGCTCTTAACAGGAATTCTATATCTCATCCTGCCAGTAATTTAAAAATTACATTAGTGCAGTGAATAATCTTTTTGTGTATATTCTAATAATTTCTCAAGCCATTTAACTCCAATTTCTTTATTAAATTTTATATTGTAATACATTTATAATATACAGAGTTTTAAAATATGTGTAATCTCTTCTTATTCTAAGAAGGAATTCTGAACACCACACATTATATGGCATATAAGAAAAAAAAATCGTTATAGTACTATGGGGTCACATAGGTACTCTGGTAGGAGCATGCAGACCACTCCATGCACGTATCTGAAAATTGGTTGTTCTCTGATTTAATTAATATTCTGCAGTGTCCTGAAATATTTAAAAATAAACAATGCTGCTGACATAGAAACCACATTCTAGAAAACAATGTAAACATCTAGAGTAAATTACTTTCAACCTAAATTATGACAATATAGATATCCCAAGATGAGGTAAGAAACACAACTATACAATGAAATCTTAAACTTGACCTGAAATGAATACACACAAGTTCATAACAGTTCTACAAAAACTTTTCAAAGAAAGAAATGCCAATGGTGTGAAACCTGACATATATATGTGCTAGGAAACTTTGACTTTCTAGTTTTTTGTTTGTTAAATGAATTGCAGTCATATCAGAGTCATCAAGACAAAGATAAAATATTCCTTAAGTTTTGCTCAGGGGGGCTGGAGAGAAAGTTCAGAAGTTAAAGGTTAGGCTCACAACCAAAAATATAAGTTTTCTTAGGCAACCAAAATTTTCATACTTCTATGTTTTCTTTATGTAGAACTTAATACATGGAAAATATGCACACTGACAGTCAAGGATCAATACAACATCATCATCCAGATCTGAGGCAAATCTTTCATACCAGTAATTCTGTGTGTCTTACAAGTACAGAAAACAATGCTATTAAAAATAACAGGAAAAGCAGTGGCTCACGCCTTTAATCCCAGCACTTGGGAGGCAGAGCCAGGCAGATCTCTGTGAGTTTGAGGCCAGCCTGCCCTACAGAGCAAGATCCAGGTCAGGCACCAAAACTACACAGAGAAACCCTGTCTTGAAAAACCAAAAAACAGGTAATATTACTTAAGTAGTACTGAACATCTGTAGGTTTCTTCATCTTTGAGGGATGTTTCAAAAGTATGAAAAGAAGGGAAATGAAGTGATACATGAAGAATCTTTAGGTTGCTCACCTGTGACTAACTCAACTTCTAAGTAGTTTACAAGTAAGCTTTCACCTGCAGGAGAGTACTGTGAATATATTAATCTATCCCACAGAGTTTAAATGTATCCATTTTAAAGAAAGGATTTTTGAAGTTCTTCACTGTGTCTTCACTTCCTGTCACACTGGGTATTTGCTACCACCTTGTGGTGAACACAGATATTACCATTTATAAAAAACTAAAAAAATCCACAGTGGTTGTGTGGAGGGCCCAAAGCAGCTTGACCAAACAGCTGCCATGACAGGCTTAGAGGCCCAGACAAGCTTCTAAGACACGCTTACTGGCAGGCAACACACAGATCCAGGAAAAGCCATAAGCTGACCTCTACCCAGGGACTAAGGGGAAATACCTGATATTCCAAACATTCCCTATACACTTAGACAAATGTCAGCCAATCAGGGTCCCGAACCCTGGAAATCCCCTCACTCCAACTTCTGCTATGATAAAAACCTCACCTTGCCCAGGCTCGGACTCTCTGCTCTCACCACTGCATCGGACAGAGAGACCAAGCTCTGAGCTTGAAATAAAGGCTCTTTGCTTTTACATATGGGATTTGGTCTCTGTCGTGGTCTTTTGGGGGGTCCCTGTGATATGGGCATAACAGTTGAGTGTGCCTAGCATGCAAAGAGCCAAGTACTTTGATTAAACAGAAGAAAAGATGGGTATTATGAGGCCCAGAAAACAATCCATAGTAGGTATGAAGTGACACATTATCTATCACTTGTGCCAATATGCCATAGGACTGACACTAGCCAGGAAGTTCAGCCAGCTCATTAAGGAAGACTACACAATGGCAGCATCTCAGGAAGGGGGCATAAAGGGAAGCCAGCTTGGAGACAGCAACACTAACGCCTTTGTTTCTTTCCTTTGTTATTTCCTACCCAAGGGTGTACTGAAGAGTTTCGTTTTCTTTCCTCTCTACTGGCTTGGAATATATTCTATATCTGTTCTTTCTTTAGTCATCTGTGGTGATCTGAATAAGAATGGTCCCTATAGGCCCATGTATTTGAATTCTTAGTCAATAGGGAGTGGCACTATTTAAAAGATTAGGAGGTGTGGCCTTTCTGGAGGAAGTGTCATGGGGGTGGGAAGAGGGTGGGGGGATTGAGGGTTCAAAAACCCAAGCCAGGCCCTAGTGCCTCTCTCTTCCTGCTCCCTGTGGACCCAGATGTACAACTCTCAAGCTACCTCTCCAGCACCAAGTCTGCCTGCTGCCATGCTCCCTGCCATGATGATAATGGGCTAAACCTCTGAGACTGTAAGCAAGATCCAATTAAATGCTTTCTTTTATAAGAGTTGCTGTGGTCATGGTGTCTCTTCATGACAACAGAACACTGACTGAAACAGTCGCCTTTAATTTTTTCACCTGTATATTGTATCTAACAATGTTTGAAGTTGGGCTCGAGGGCTGCCTTTAATCACAACTTGGGAGGTAGAGGCAGTTGGACCACTGTGAGTTTGAAGTCATCCTGGTGTCATACTCAGTTCCAGTCCAGCCAGAGCTACACAGTAAAGCTCCATTTCAAAATATAAAAGATAAAATGTCTGAAGTTAATCACTGTCCTATGGAATATACCTCTGAACTTCAGTTTCCTGGTGCTTGTTTTATTGCTTTCTATTTTGTGTGTGTGTGTGTGTCTTACTTTGCCATTTTTGTTTGTTCTAACAGTACTGGGGATCAACCCAAGGCCTTGCAGTGGTAGGCAAGCACAATACCACTGTGCTACACACCCAATTCTTTTGTTTGAATTTTCAGACAAAGTCTCTGTGTAACCCAGGCTGGCCTCAAATACTAGATCCTCCCAGCTCAGCCTCTCAAGTGTGGGGACTACTGTTTTGTCCTTAAGGCAACATTTTTACTCTTATACAGTCTGTGCTTGCTTGAATTTCCCACCAAAAAAAAAAAAAAAAAAATTTCGCTCTTAGTTCATAGTACCATTACTTCCGAGATTTATTACCTGGGTAAATTTATTCCATGTTTACCAGCTGAGTGGTCCATATTTTATTAAGCCATTAAAAATGGTCATCCCAACTTCTCCAGACCACCAATTTCTGGTTTTTTGTTGTTGTTGTGTTATTTCCTTCCTTTTACTTAATTTGAGTATTCTGATAGTCTCCTCCTAGTATATGAAGTTGGATGCTTTATTTCTCCATTGTTTTATTTTAACAAATGCAGCTAAGGTAATTAATTTTCTTCCAATTTCCACTTTAACTTAGTGTAAGTCCATATTTTATCCTTCTTTATGAATTATTTAGAAATTAAGTTATCACATACTGGATTTCTTTGGCCAGCTTTTTATTGTTGATCCCTACCTGTTACATTAGAGCTGAAAAATGTGAAAAAAATGATAGTAATGTTATTAGTAGTACTGGGGATTGAACTCAGGACCAAGGGCAAATAATTAATCTGCCATGGCCTTGTACTGATTATTAGGAAAAAATTTAAACTTTCTTTATTATCAAGTAGAGGTTCCTTTTTATTTCTCTTGGTTTTATTTTCTAGGTGACTTTCTAAGAAGCCCAAGTTGGTCTTAAACCAAAAAAGAAAAAAGAAATCAATTCTATGAGGTCCAGAATGTTGTCAGTCTCTAGGATGCTGGAAAGACAGGCACCAAACTTATGTCTAAGTATGCATTATTTTAAAAATATTCCACAGGAGCTTGTAAACAATGCATTTTGTTAATTCATACTCATTAATAGACTAAGCACCACTTGCCATGTTGCCCCAAATTTCCCTATCATTATAAATACTTTATTACTTGATCTACTGTTTTGTTTTGGTTTAATTTTATATTTTTGAGGCAGGGTCTTAACTAGTAACTTGGCTAGTCTTGGAACTAAAAGAGATCTGCCTGCCTCCACGTCCTAAGTGCTGGAACTAAAGGTGGGCAGCATCATGCCCTGGTGATTTAACGGTTTTGTTTGTTTGTTTTTAAATCTGAATTAGCTTTTCATGGGCAGGTCTTCTACATATAGAGTTCTAGGCCATCCAGAGCTACATAGTGAGATCCTGTATCAAAACAAACAAAATGCAAAAAAACATGGACAGAATCAAACAAGAAGCAAAAATCTGAATTAGCGGTTCACCAAAATATGTATGTGCTGTAAGGGGGAAAAAATGCACGAATTAATCAATCCCATCCAATGGCAATACTAGTAATTTATATATAGGAGTCCCACATCCCAGCTCCTGATTGCCCCTCAGAAGACATATCCTCCCATACCGTCACCCCTTCTATTACACATACACAAAGCTCATGGGCCTCAAGAAGGCCTATCTCCTGAAAACGTATTTTTAATGTAACAGATATATAGAGACTTTTTCCCCCTAGACTAGGTCTCACTGTGTGACCATGGTTGATCTGGAAGTTATTAGGTAGACCAGGGTGGCCTTGAACTCACAAAGATCCACCTGCCTCTGTTTCCTGGGTACCATTTTCCTTCTTTCTTTCTTTTTGGTTTTTTGAGACAGGGGTTCTCTGTGCAACAGCCCTAGATGTCCTGGAATTCACTCTGTAGACCAGGGTGACCTCAAACTCACAGAGATCTGCCTGCCTCTGCCTCCCGAGTGCTGGGATTAAAAGCATGTACTACCACTGCCCAGCCTGGTACCATTTTCTTAAAGACAAGATAGTTCCATATAAATGAAATAGGAGCTAGAGTTTTCTGTTTGTTTTTCTGTTTTTTGTTGTTTGTTTTTAAGACAGAGTCTCACTATTTAGCTCTGGCTGTCCTGGAACTTGCTATATAGACCAGGTTGGCCTGGAACTCACAGAGATCTGCATGCACCATCACACTAAGCCCTACCAACTAGTTTATAATAACAACCTCAAGTTCTTGTATCAGAACTTTAAAAGAATATCAGTTCAGTATTCAGTACTTCCCTTCCTTGATCACATTCTCCTTTAGAGCTACAAAAGGATCAATCCATAAACTGAAGTGGTATTCCTTTTATATAAAGAAAGTGTGCCCCTTGCTATATAAACTGACTTAATGAGATACATTTTTTAATGGGCAAGCCTTAAAGTGTTTATTCATTTATGTTATGTCAAAGAAGAAATGAAATGGAATTTTCCCGCTTTTTAACCAATCATTGATACCAAGCTGCATTCTATTTGTAAATAAAATATTTCTCTCTCCAAATTCTAAACTAGAAGATAGCTGCTTTATTATATCAAGTATAACACTTTGGCACTAGAGAAATAAAAGAATCATTTTGTCATTATAATGCAAAAGTTGATAAATTTCTGCTATATATACATCTAGAGTTTATAGTTTATAGGCCATTCATTGTCTTTTGCTATCCTGTTTCATTCTATACACACAATGCATCTTCAAATGTTTCAAGATATTTAAAAAAAATTCTTAGCTCAAGAGTCTATAAAGAGGGCTCAGTGGACAAAAGGACTTCCCATGAAGACTGGCAAGTTAAGATGGATCTCCTGGCCCCATATAGTAGAGTGAAAGAATTCCCAAAGGTTGTCTACTGATGTTTGCTACCATGCTGTGGCACCCCACAAGCACACACATTAAATAAATAATACACACACACACACACACACACAAACTGACTGATAGAGAAGAACACATAATACTATAAATTTCATTATGTATTCAAAAATAAGTTAATGACAAAATCTCAAAATTAAGGGGCTGGCTTACATATTCACCCACCCACAAAAAAAAAACCCTCAAGATCTTTAGCTTATGCTTACCTTTGGCTGTGGCATGAACCACGGCAGCCTGAGAAATGACTTGGTAGGTTTCAAAACCCAAATAAGACAAGGCTGAGAACAAAAGGCCTCTCTTGAAAGGTATTGTGTTTCCTATCACCTAGAGAAAAATAACATATTAAAATTATGAAACTCAGAAATCATAAAGAATTTTCAACCCCAAGCAACAACATATCTATTTTCTCCTACCTCCAAAGCAAGTAATTACAGAATGATAGAAGCTAAAATAAAAAAAAGCAAAAAAAAAGTTCCTTAGTAAAACTATTTCAAACCTTACATACAGTATATCTTAGTAATGGAGGTAGCAGTTTGTCTAAAGGTCATTTGTAGACTAAGAATGTAACTCGGGTAGAGCATCATGAACAAGACACTTGTTTCAAAACCCAGAACCTCAAAATGAATGAATGAATCAATCGATTAATTAATTAATTAATTAATTATATAGCAAAAGTGACTCACATTATTATGAAAATCTTTTACAAAGACATAGATACTATAAATTGTATGAAATAATATTAATAATAAATTTATCAATTCAATGATCTTCTAAACCACCACATAACAAATACAGACAAGCTGAAAACTATAATTACTACACATAAAAATATATACAGCTCTCAGATAGGATACTAAAGACCCCATAGTTTTTAAATAGATGATGAATAATAATCATATTTAAGATGTGTATGGTACTCATGCCTATAATCCCATTATTCAGGAGTTAGAGGCAGACAGACCAGAAAGATATTCAAGGCCAGTCTCAGCAAAAGAGGGGCTGAGTTTCGGTTCAAGGCCAACTAGGATAGACCTGAGGCCCAGCCTCAAACAACAAAATATACAAGCAGATTTGGAACTGATTTATAACCAGATTATTTTGACAAATTACAAGGACTATATGTCACTCCTACAGCTCTTCCCCTTTTCCATCACTCTTCTATTTGACACAGTATCATTTTTACCTTTTTGTCAAATCATTTGATCAGCATAAAAACAAACTGCTCTCTTTATTAAAAAGCAGCCTGTAATTTTTTTTTCAATCTTTTAGAGACTAGGTCCTATTTTATAGGCCAAGCTGGACTTGACTGTCTTCCTGGTTCTCCTGTCTCTGCCTTCAGAGATGGGATTATAAGGTTCCAGGTAATTTATTTTCCTTCTAAAAACAACCTTGGACCAGATATGTGACTCAGTGGTAAAGTACTTGTGAGATCTATGTTTAATCTCAGTACTGAAAAAAATAAAAAACAAAAACAAAAAAACCACACTTCCCCTTGATTTTAAATCTCATTTCTTCTCCATTCCCAACTCTTTCAAGAAGTTCTTCATTCTGTTTACTTGTTTCCACGTTCTAGTTCCCATTTTCTCTTGAACCCACACAGATTATAATTTTTTTTTAAAAGACAGTGTTTCTGGTAGCCCAGGCTGACCCCGAACTCATTAAGTTGCTGAGGATAACCTTGAACTTCTGATCCCCCTGCCTTCATAGCTCAAAAGGACAGACATGACCAAACTACAAATTCACTTTTAACCAAACCACTCTATGAATGCTATTCTAGTTAATAGCACCTACTTGTTATTTTGTTTCTCAGATTTTGGAATATTTATAGAAACATGATGAGAGATCATGTGGATAGGTCCCTAGTATACCCATGAAATTAATTTATGGTTTTTATAATCTTTATACACAGAGCCTGCATATAATTTTGTGTAATATTATTCGTGTGCCTGTGTTTTAACTTTGTCCTGTTACAAGAAGTCAGAGTGGAATTTCCAATTCTATGGCACTCAAATGCCTTGAATTTTAAGGCATTTTGGGAGTTCAGTTTTCAAATTAAGAATGCTCACTCTATATTTCCTGTGGTCAATTCTGAATTCTCATTGTACTTTGGCATATCAACAGCATTTGACAGCTAATTATTTTCTCTTAGAAAAAGACATTATAAGAATAAAAATAGACAAATCATGGGCTGACACTAAATTTTATGTAAATATTTGGAATATTTACATATAATAAACTACATACTTGAGGGTACAATTTTATCTTGTATAAACTGGGGAAATCCATTTTCACCACCACAATCAAGATGATAAACATATTTATCAACTCAAAATTATCCGTCTTTTTCCCAGCATGTGTTTTGTTACTGTTAAAGTAGTTCAGGGGCTGGAGAGATGGCTCAGAGGTTAAGAGCACTGGCTGTTCTTCCAGAGGTCCTGAGTTCAATTCCCAGCAACCACATGGTGGCTCACAACCATCTGTAATGAGATCTGGCACCCTCTTCTGGCCTGAAGGGATATATGCAAGCAGAAGCAGAACACTGTATACATAATAAACAAATAAATAAATAAATCTTTAAAAAAAATAGTTCAGATTGTTTTTGAAATATTATTCCTTTGGATTTCTTCCTGTCTCATGACTGTTCCTTCTCTTTTATTAATTCATTTCTAATGTCTCCTTACATGTTGTATGTGTCCAGGCTTAATCCTAAACCTGTTTTGTATTTGTGACCTTATTTCCTCTCACAGTTTTAAATGCCAGATTTGACCCATTCTATCTCTAGCCTGGATGTCTCTTCTAAACTGGAGAGTCACTCAACATCTGTCTCTATGTGAAGTCTATTATGAATTTCAAGACAGGATTCTTCCCACCAAACTCTCTATTCTCAGTTCCCCTATTAAAGAAATGGGAGCTGTCTTCTCCTAGTTACTTCCTTTTTTGTTTGTTTTGGTTTTATTTTATTTTATTTTTTTTAGATCCATCTATTTTATGTGCGTGAGTGCTTTGCCTGAAAGTACATATATGTTCTATGTGCATCCCTGGGTCTTGCAGAGGTCAGAAGAGGGTGTCAGGTACTCTGGAACTGGAGTTACCAAAGGTTGTAAGCTACCTTGTAGGTGCTGGGAACAGAAATGGGGTTCTAAAAAAGAACATAACGTGTTCTTAACAACTGCCACTGAGCTATCTCTCCAGGCTACTTGTCCAGTTTTTAAAAATAAACAAAAAAACACTGACTCATTTAGATTTTCTCACAATCCATATTTAATTCACATCTAAACTTCTGATATAATCTTAGACTAGAAAAGGGAAAATACACCTCATTCTAATTTGTTGAATGTTTTGTTAAAATGAATATCCAAGATATTAGCACCTGTAAATTAAAAACGAATCAACAGCAAAATAGTAGTATTTCATGTTCTGAATGAATTATTAATTTTTTTGTTTTTCGAGACAGGGTTTCTCTGTGTAGCTTTATGCCTTTCCTGGATCTTGCTCTGTAGACCAGGTTGGCCTCGAACTAGTATGCATCTGAACACATATATGGAAAGTAAAATGTAGTTACAATTTTTAAAAACATTTCTTATATAAAAGAATGCTCTCTGACATATTTTTTCTTCTACATTAATTTTACCAACTTGAAAGCCAGAATTTTTTTTTTAAATCATTAGATGGAAAGGAATATGTTAAAATTCTCCCTCCTTTCTTTCTAATTTTCTCCAGAATATCTTCCTCTTAAATATTAGAATTCCCCTGTGATGAATACAAGGCCTCTTTCTTGGTGTCGTATTAAATACTTTGAATGTTTTACCATGGCTGAAAAAATACAATTATATATGGCCTATTGTGGTGACACTTGCATTTAATCCTGGCACTCAGAAGGCAGAGGCATATAGATCTCTGTGAGTTCCAGGCCAGCCAGGGCTACAAAGAGACCCTGTCTCAAAAACAAAACAAAACAAACAAAGAAATAATTACATACTAAAAGTTCAAAAGGTAACTGGCAGACCTACTGAGCTGTTTGCCTACCCATATGTCAACTTGGCCCTCTTCACACAGTCCAAAATATAAGTCACTTCCCCTTTACCCTCAAATTTCTTTTGGCAGTCACAGCTCACTAAGTAGCACCACTATTCATTAGGCTGTTATTTGATTTCCAATACTCTTTAGACTAAAATCAGAAATACAACAGTTCATAAGGTTTTTAAATTTTGTACTTATTATTGTATGATGTGAGAACATATGACACGTAGAGGTCAGAGAATAATTCTGGGGACTCAGTCCTGTCTTTCCACAGTGGGTCAGGGGATCAAGCAGCACAGTCTATAAGGTTTTTTCTGAATCTGGTTGTCAGAGGCAATTTATCACAGACCATGGTGGTGCATACCTTTAATCCCAGAACTTGGGAGACAGAGGCAGGTGAATCTCTGTGAATTAGAGGCCAGCCTGGTCTACACAGCGAGTTCCAGGACAGTCAGGGATACATAGAGAAACCCTGTGTGAGACCCCCTCACATACACACACAAAAAAAGAAAGCAATTTATCCCTTGTGTGATATTTTCCTTTACATGTACTGTGGATTTACTGACCTCCTCACTGTCAAAGATTAAGTGGTTGGAAGACCACAAAGTTGACACTCAGCTATCCTCTTTGACCTCCTGCCCACCCTGGGAAAGTCAGCTGCAATGTCTGCTGGCAACAGCAGCCTTGAGGAGAAAATATCTGCCTACTGCCATCTGAGAGCATGGAAGCAGAACTTCCTCCTTCTTTCCTCAGAAACTGAGCTTTCAAAAAAGCAAAAGAGGCTGGAGAGATAACCCATGGTTAAGAAAACTGGCTGCTCTTCCTGAGGACCCAGATTCAATTCCCAGCACCCATGACGTGGCTAACAATCATTTAAAAAACTCCAGTTCCTGGAGGATCAGGGGATCTGATGCCCTCTTCTGGCCTCCACCTGCACTAGGCATGCATTTGGTGCACAGACATACATGCAGGAAAAACACCCCTACAATTAATTTTAAAAAACATAAGCAAGATAAGTTGTTGGTTTAACCTTCACACCTGAAATATCAGCACTCAGAAGGCTAAGGCAAGAAAACCACTTGGGCTGCACATTAAATTCAATGTCAACCTTAGGCATTAGGGAGGCCGTGTCAAAAGAAGCCAACAAACACAACCACAAAATAAAACAAAGTCCTGAGCTTGTAAATGAGACCTCAACAGTTGAAAGCCTGACTTAACCTCATGAGAGATCGTATGCTGGGCACCCAATTAAGCCATACCTACATTCCTGACCTACACACACCACGGATAATAAATATTCGTATTAAGTAGGCATTTAAAAGCATCTTTTAAGCCGGGCGGTGGTGGCGCACGCCTTTAATCCCAGCACTCGGGAGGCAGAGGCAGGTGGATCTCTGTGAGTTCGAGGCCAACCTGGGCTACCAAGTGAGCTCCAGGAAAGGCGCAAAGCTACACAGAGAAACCCTGTCTCGAAAAACAAAAACAAACAAACAAAAAGCGTCTTTTAGGGCTTACAATAACAAAATAATTAAATATATTTTAGGGACCAATGCCACCCCTTTTCAAGAATAAATTGGGTTATAATCAGTCTAGTAAAAGTTTCAGAACTGAGACAATTAAAAAAAAAAAAATCCAGACAGCATTAACATGTATAGAAACCAAGAAACTCCAGGATAATTACTTTAAAAAATAAATTCTCTTATTTATTGAAAATTTCAGAGTTACATCAAAAGCAATTTTGCCCCCGGATGGTAGGCAAGGGCTGTAACCCTGAGCTTCTTTCCTTTTAACTATTTACTTCGAGACAAAGGCTCATTAAATTGCCCAGACTAGCCTTGAACCGGCTCCATATCCCAAGCTGACCTTGAATTTGCGACCCTCCTGCCTAGCAGCTGGACTACAGCATTGAGCCATCAGGCTGGGCTGTCTGAGGTAATAACCTGGGTGTCACAACCCTCGGTGGCCTGGCAGAAAGCGACTTTCTCATAGGTCAAAGTTCTTGCACCTCCCTGTTCTATTTTCTGACAGGAAGGGCAGGGAGGACAAACACCTCTGCCCCAAGGCCAGCTGTCCCGGAGGAGGCTTGCGATGCGGAGGCTGCACGAACGTCTAGCCGGGGTGCGGGACCTGCAAACCTGGAGATGGGACACCGCCGACGCCCCGCCGGGGGAGAGGGCAGGACCAGGACGGCGGGTTACCTCGGAGCCCAGGAATGCCCGGGCGCCACAGTGCCCACGGCTGCCCCAGGCCCTCGCCAGCGGACAGACGCTCTGCGCGGCTCCGCGCCGCAGACGGAGAAGCGGACACAGCCGCGAGGGCAGCGCCATGACTGACAGCTCGCCAGCCTGACCAAGCGCCCACGGGACTCCACCGGACGGGGCGGGGCGAAAGGCACGACCGGAACGCGGCTCTCCAGCTTCCTGGCCAGCACCTCCGCCACGCCCGCTTCCGGGCCTCGGGTTCCAGAGACCGGAAATAACTCGACGGGTCGGGGAGGGGGGCGCGGGGGACGTCACGCATGCGCGCAGCAAGCTCCGGGGAGCCAGAGAGCCCTCCTCTGGCCAGTGGCGGCGGTCTGCTGTAACTTTTGCGAAAGCTTTTCCTACCTTTGGCCAAAGTGCAAATTAACAGAGCAGAGCTGAAAGTTCTGAAGTGGACCCAATAATGAATGCATGAAGGAAAAGGTGATTAAAAACAGTTTTTCTATAATTCTCCAAAGTCTCCAAAAGGAAAGTCAGTGCTGGCACTTATGGTCCTTTTTGAAAATAAGTGTTTGAATGAATTAAATTGTCCCACATAAGGAGGACAGTGGAAAAATCCACAGACTGCAGGTGGTCGAAGCTAAAGTTGGGGAGCCGACCGAGAAGAGAAGGAAAGGAAAGGCCCACCAGGTCTGAGTCAAGAATACTAGGAAGAGGAGGAATCCTACCATAGCCAGACTTTCAGCGTGCTTGCCTTAGGTCCTGGATTCAATTCCCAGCGCTGCACAAGACTAGAGTGGTAGCACATGCCTATAATGCCAGCATTGGGGACGTGGACGAATAACCACGAGTTCAAGACCATCCTCGGTTACATACCGAGTTGGGTGCTAGCCTGAAATCTGGAAGACCATGTCTCAATAAAGAAAAAAAGAAGTTGATTGTTGAAATCCCACCACTATTATCTTGAATTTAAGGACAGCCTGGGCTACTCGGTGAATACCAGTCTAGCCTGAAATACAGAATATGACTGTTAGACGCTGCATTTTAAAAATGCAGACAGATAAATATCCCAGCGCTTTCCTGAGTGGTTATATCCTAGATTTGGCAAAAAATAAAATTATAATTTAACTTACATTTATTCCCTTAAATTGTTTAGATCCCTGTTTGCTAAAGGTGCTATGTGGTGCTGAGACCTTTCGTGTCATTTAATCGTTATGTCATTAAATTATCTCATTTAATCATCATTAGGTGTAGATAGTTTCTGCGTTTTATAAATGAGAAGACGTGTGCTTCAGCAAGAGTTTGAATTCCCCAGAGTCACTCATGCCCATGAAAAAATGGAGAGAACTGGTATTCAAACCAGGTTTCACAACTGCAAAGACATAAGACGTTGCCTTTTTTATTATAACATGCTTATGTCAGTGATAATGGAGAAATATGCCTGCAAGATTTCTCTAAACTGTGGCAGATCTACAAGACACATTCTGTTTGGTGTGTGTGTGTGTGTGTGTGTGTGTGTGTGAGAGAGAGAGAGAGAGAGAGAGAGAGAGAGAGAGAGAGAGAGAGAGAGAGAGAGAGAGAGGAGATGAGAATGAATATCTCTTGGAATTAAAACTGGAGTTACAAGGAGTAACTTCTGAGCAATCTCTGTTGTTCCCACATTCTAGTTCTTATTCCAAACTTATTGTATTAGTCTCTAGTTGTCTGGGAGATCAACTATAATTTTATGATAATAGCAACTTATGTATATATGCCACAACATCATGCACTATTTAATAAATATATAAAATTTTATTTGTCAATTTTCATGTTAAATAAATGATAAAATACATTATATTGAAAATATATATGTCCTTCTCAACGTCTGTTGAAACCTTTTATGTATCTCTACTTCCAGCTAGTTCAATATTGCTAAATAATATGTTTATACACCATTGGAGGCCATGCTCATGCTGAAATTCCAATTCTGATGTTTCAGCTACAATGAATTCTGGGTTTATTGTGTTGTTGTGAATAAACCCAGGGCTTTGTACATGTTAGGCAAGAGCTCTGGTTATTGAGCATGCATGGCCTTACCCAAAATATATTTCATTGGTTATACTTATGCTGAAAAACTTGTGTACCTGAAATTCAGATTTAGCTCAGCATCTTTTCTGGCAGCCTTACTTGGTTTTCCATGGTCAGGCATCATCAGTTTAGAGACTAGGGACATAGTTTATGGTAGAGTGCTTGCCTTGCCTGAATGAAACCATAGGTTCAATCTCCTGCACTATCTATTTTCCTGAGTTAACTTCAGTCATTTTTTTTCTTTGGTTTTAGTATTTTGGGCAGAAATGTTATGTGATATATCCTTTCCATCCATTTGCATACTGAAGCTTTTGATATGATTTTGTCCTATTATAGGCAAGTTAGGATTTTTTTTTTTTTTTGTACATGGTTTGAACCCAGGACCTTGCACGTGTGAGATGTAATCCCTAGCATGAATGGGATCTGCTTAAGAAACAAATTTAAAGCACTGGTGCTGTAGCTTGGCGAGAGAGTGCTAACATGTGAGGCCTTGGGTTTGATCCCTGGCCCTGTAAGAAAAGGAAATAAAAGGTGGATCAGACACTTACTGCCCTTCTTAATTTCGTTATTGGCATACTATCCCAGCACACAGAGACTACACTGTCTGCTATCTTTTCTGTGTCTTTTTGGCTTCATTCCCTGACTCCTCTCCTCTTCCCCTCTTCACCCATGTAGCTCAGTAAGTTTCAGTTCCACTGTCTTTTTGATGCTACAATGAGCTGTAGGCTTCACTACATGACATTTTCTTTGTCAGTATTCCTTCGTATTCTGCTACCAAATAACTTCTTCCTTTCTCCATATGACCAAACTTTCTTACCTGGCTAATTTTAATTTCTCTTTCCTTAGAGAAATGCCTCTTGATTCCTCCTAAATATATTTTAATTTATTAATTCATAATTTCACTTTTACTTTTGTGATTATTTGTTTGTCTGGAGTATATTTTGGAGGAATTGGTAACATATGCTTTCATTATACTATAATTTCAATTACTCCGATTTTTTTCACTTATAAAAAGATATGACCCAATTTTTCCATTCATTCAGTAAATATGTATTATGTATATATAATGTTAAGTCTCAAACCTCAGACAAATGGCTAACTGAGGTGCCTATTTAATATATCAAAGCAGAGTCTGGCCACCAGATTCTCAGCAATTATTTGTTACTGGGTCATCCTGGCTGGCATACCCCTTCCTGTACCCTAAACGCTACAGCTCCACCCTATATAACCCATACATTTTGGCTATGCCTCTTTCTTGGTCTCCTGGCCTCTCAGCTCCCGGTTTTTCTCCTTCGCTCTCTCACTCTCCCATACTCACTCCTCTCATGGCCCTGTTCAGTCTGGACACTTCCAGATACCTCTGGCTGTGTTCTTCACAGCCTTATTGTATCTACAATAAACCTTCTCCTCCACCTATACCTAGGAGCACCAAGTTCTCCTTTTCTTTTTTTCTTTTTTCTTTTCATTTATTAATATGCTTCCTACTCTTCTAGTAACAAGAAAAGTAAAAGTAGTATGAAATACTATATGGTGATAAATGCTAACTAGGAAGATGAGGGAGAAAGAGGTATAAATATATTTCTGTGAGGCATTGCAATTTCATTTTATTTCTTTTTTTCCCTTTCAGTGTTAAATATTGTTCATGCTAGTTATTTAGTACTTTATAACCGCACAACTCCCTCAGCCAAACTTTCCAGTCCTAAATTGGATAATGGCCAGAAAAAAAAAAAAAACCTCACTCAGAACTTTTGAATTAATACCCGAAGAAGTGAGTCACGAAGATCTTTAGGGACAAAGCATATTGTGCAGAGTAAAATAAACATGCAAAATCCTGCTCTGGAAAAGCAAATGGAAATTTTCATGACCAGCAAGCAAGGAGGAAGTAAGAGATAAAGATCAGTGACAAGGTGGGTGGCCCGCAGTATAGTTTCTCAGTGACACTGTAAGAATTTTGAATGTTTTCTTTGTGTGACTAGGTCAGATCTAATTTACATGTTATGTTGGGTGGGGCCTTCTGTGTTGAGAACAGACTAAAGGGGAGCATGGTTGACCTCCGAGGGGCAACCCCCTCAAAGGAAACTCACTCTCCTTCTCCCAGCAGTTACCAGTTGCCAAGGGTGAGACCCCCTGGCCATTGCCCCCTCCCTGCTGAGATGCTGTCTAACTTGCGCTTTGGCAGGCTTTTTGCATGCTGTCACAATTGCTGTGAGTTAAATGTGAAACTGCCCAGAAAACAGTTTCCTTATAATTACTCACTGGCCCAAGCCATTCCCATTGACACTGACCATTCTTTCGTTTCTGCCTTCTTTAATGATCACTGCTGGGTCTTGGGTGGGGGTGGGGACATGATACAGATATCCCATTTAAGGCTGAGCTTTCCTTCATCTCTTATTCTCTGTGCTTTGGCTATTTGTGGGACTCTGTGTTAAATAGAAGCTTCCCTGCTGAGGTTGAGAGGTGCATTAATCTATGGGTTTAGCAGTAAATCACTAGGAATTGGTTTAATACTCTGTCCATTTAGCAGTACTAGGTTCCTGCTTAGGGCCTATGACCTGTCTAGCCATAGTTCTTGCCTTGATAACAGTGCCAGGTGTGAGTTTCATTTTGTGGAGTGGAACTTAAGTCCAAACAGAAAGTGGTTGGTTATTCCCATGATATTCCTGCCACTACTGCACAGTGGGGCCTGTCTTTCCAGGCTGGTCATTACTGTAGCTTACAGGGTTCACTGCTGGGTAAGAATGAGATTACTCTTCTCTGGTAGCACACATAACATATTCCATTCTTTGGCTATTTCTACTGAGTGCTTCTTCCCACCCCCTTTTTCTCTTCAGTTTAAGTGAACTAACTTTTGCCAGGTTCAGGTAACTACTGTTCTTTTGTCTTTGTTTATTTTTATCCCATTCTTGTGCAGAAGTATTAAATTTTCATGCAGTAGAAGATGTGACGTTGAGTACCCATCACAATAGGCTTTTAGAGATCAGTACAGTCTGATGACTTTAGGCAAACAGAACAACTACTTATCTACCACATTTCATCTTATTCATTTGTACCTTTCTCACTTATGAAAAGGTACATGGCACTAAACACATTGCAAGGCTTTTGTGATGCTTAAATAAAATTAAGCATGTAAAATGACTCAGGGAGTGGCACATTGAACCCACTCTACAGAAGGATGCTTAAGACTTGGCATTTCATTCTTAAAAATTTTTGTCTGGATCTATTCTCTTTTTTTTAAAGATTTATATATTTTATATATGAGTGTTTTGCCTGCATGCATGTATGTGTATATATATTTGCCTGCTACCCTTGGAGGTCAGAAGAGGACATCAGATCCTCAGGAGTTCCAGATGTTTGTGAGTCACAAACCGGGAACTCTGCAAGAGCAAGTGCTCTTAACCTCTGAGCCCCCCAAATCTGATATTTTAATGTCTAAAGTCAACTACGGATTTTGTGAGAAGTATTAAGACGTCAGCGGGCAGAAGCTCAGCCAAGAAAACGGGAGTGAAATGAGGTGGGGAGCAAGTTCACTACCAAAAGCAAAACTTCATCTTAGCCCCACCCACAAGCCCCGCCTTCGCCCCGAGCCGCTCAGGACTCCGCCCACGAGCCCCGCCCCTCTGCGGGCCAGCCCTCAGGTTCCAGTAAAGCCCCTGCTCTCCCGGCCACCTTGCGGTGCTCTCTGCTGGGTCTCCACCCTCACTTGGCTTCACCGGCGACCTCGCACGTGAGTGCGTGACTCTCCCCAGTTCAGGAGCCGTGTGGCCCAGCCCCAGCCTGCAGCCTCCCGGGCAGCCGGCTGGTCCTAGCGGAGGGAATTAGGGCCCGCAGGCTTCGAGCCGCTCCGCCCGCCCGGCCCCGGCGCTGGAAGTGCTCCGCGGGCTTCCGGTGCCCACCCTGGGGGCTCCCCGGGCGTCGCGTGCCGGGTCCGCGGCCAGTCGAGGCTCGGCGCTCGAGGTCAGCCTTGGGCCGCGAGCACCTCCTGGGCCTGCAGCTGGCGCACCTGGACGGCGGAGCCAGGGATCCGCGGGCCCCAGGGAAGGGCAGGGTGGGGCGAAGGGTTACATGCTCGGAAATCTCGGTCCCGCTCAGCGGGGAGAGATCGGTGAACCAGACGAACCGGTCGTGTCGGGGGGAACGGTGGAGGAGAGGCTGCACGGTATGGGAAAAGGTGATACTGAATTCGGCGCAAAACCAGGACTGCGTGAAGTCCTAGCAGCTCCTGCACCTGTACCGGCTTCGAAAGTCTGCCCGGTGCTTCGGGCTCACTGCCACAGGGCGTGGAGGAAGGGCAGTGGCATTTGTTTTTCACTCAGAAACTTGACAGAGCAAAGTGACCGTTAGTGCTGGACCTAATGCACTTGACGGTGATCTCCCAACTTTTGCTTCTTTCTGTTACCCGTATGTGGCCGCCTCAGAATAATCAAATAGAGGGTAGGGCGGGTTTAAAAGTAGTAATGGACTGCAGTGATCCACAGCCACTGTGCTAGGCAGTTTTTATATATGTTAGCTCACAGTTTAAATGGTGTTATTATCTTTTCCATTCTTCAGGAAAACTGGGCTTGACTTACTTTCGCTGTATGTGTGTCAAGTGATAGCATTAGGTTGCGATCCAGGTCTGTATGGTTTTATAGTATAAGATTTATAAATGTAAACGAACATGATTTCATGAGTAAGTTATCTGTCTAGTTTTAAGTATGTTCTGAGGTGTGATAGCTGTCTAACGTTTGAGTAGGATACACAACCCTTTAAGATGTGTTTCTACATTTGTAAAATAGATACAGCACTGCTGTGTCATAGAGTTGTGAGGATTAAGTAAAATATTTGTAAAGCATTCAGCAAAGTGTCTGGTACACAAATAATGATAAACTTTATATACTCCCCACATATCTTGTCAGCCAGTTGTACCCAAATAAAACCTGTTCAGGCCTAGAACATAGAGGTAAACAGCAAAGCATTGGAAAAGGGAACTGAGAAAAGATGGCATATGATAATAGTTGCAGTGACATTAATGGATTCTCAGGATTAATCTGCTTTCAAGGCCTTTTTTTTTTTTTCCTTTGCGAAGGCAGTTCCTTTTGGCAACAGGTCCATGCAGAAGCCCTCTTACTGAGGCAAACTGAATTTCTGGCTTTTACAGATTAAAAGATGCCTTGCACAGGAAGAGAATGAAGTACTCTCTTTCAGAATCTCTTCTGATTTAACCCCAAAAGCTGAGGTTTTAGAATTGGGGGAACAAAAGAATTCATCACCTCTAAAGGCATGTTGCTAATTGGACATCTCTTCTAATTTTACTTAGAAATGTGAACGTTTATAGACAGTCATCTATAAAATAACTACATGTAAGAAAACTAACAATTACATATTTTAAGATATTTTATGGGACTGGTGATGTAACTCAGTGTAAGGGAACTTGTCTAGCAAACTGGAGGCCTTGGGCTCAGTCCCCCAACACTGGAATAAACATGTAAAATTAAACAGAATATTTATTAACATTCTTTGCAACTCCTTTTGCACCATCTGCTCAGACATCCAGTTCATATTGTTCTTATGCCCTGTCAATTCTTCGTCTGCTTTTCTATGTGGTATTTCTTGCCATCTTCTGTTGCTGTCCCTGGATTTTATCTGTTATTGTTAAACTACCTCTTTTCTAAAAATTTCTTTCATCAGTGATTTAAGTATGCTTGGTAGCCAAGTCAAGAAAGAAAATGTTGGCTGTGAAAAATGATGTCATGATATTTTGACCTTTAAATATGCATAACAAGGCTCTATTCTTATCAAAGCATGATCTCTGTAATGGATCTTTTAGTAAGAATCAATACCACTTCCATTAGTTCCTGGGCCCTTGAGGAGTCCACATCATTGCTGCCAAGTCCTTTCTGTTACCTTCATCTTGCAGTCTAACTTCCTTCTAGTGTTTTCCTTTATGTTCTTAAATTTGTCTAGGTTAAAACCAAAATGAATGAGGTAGAAGACTTGTACAAGATTTGTTTAAGAGTTGTCAAGAGTTTAAATAATCACTTATCATAGATTTTATTTAATATTAAGTTTCTCATATTGATAACCAACTGAACTTACTATATACATATTTGATAAGATTCTGATAACTATGTTTAAACCATACCTGTAGCTATGTTATATACTGGTTTAAATGTATTTGAAGAAGACTGGGAGTGGGATACTGGGAATTTTTTTTTTTTTGGAAAGGCCTTTCATTCCATATTTACACACATACATAAGGTTAACTGAATGGAATCATAACTTTTAAAAAGACATGAAAATTAGTCAATATTGTGGCCACACTTACCATTTTGTATTAGGTATATAGTACATTAATAGTTCCTCCATGAGAAGGGACTATTACAGTCATTTTAGTAAACTATTTTGAAATACTGTCTTATGAAATGGATGCATTATGTCTAGTTCCTGTAAAATTAGCAAAGCAACAATGTGGGATGTGGGTGCAGCTTCAAGTGTCATCATACTACTCTGGTGTTCTGTTTTGCTTTGCTCTATTTGGGCTATTTTTTTTCTTTCTTTCTTTCCTTCCTTCCTTCTTTCCTTCCTTCCTTCCTTCCTTCCTTCCTTCCTTCCTTCCTTCCTTCCTTC